CCCCCTCCCAATTCCGGATGTGAGCTAGGCGGCGACCTAATCTTGCACCATCACTGCATGGGCTGGGTGTCGCGCTCGTTGGTCTCGCGGGTCCGCTTCAACTTGATGCTCCAGTGAGGGTGGGGGCTACCGTGCACCGCACAAAAGTGTCACGCCGGTCGAACGAGCAGCGAAGCCGATCTGCTTCCTCGGATGCTCAGCTGAGCTGTGAGCGGCGCTGCGGGCGTTACATGCAGTAATGAGCATTTGCCTGTAGGGAGTCATCGCAGACATCGCAGACATCGCAGACATCGCAGGCCTTGCAGAGATCGCAAAAGGCTGGGCGAGGAGCGTGAGCCCATTGGTGATTGTGAGCAGCATGCAGCCTGCAGCCAGCCATGACAATCCCCCATCTGGCGCATTCCTTGCGCTGTTACATGCCCTCATTTCGCTTCGTCTTTTGCTTCCTTCCTTGTCATCATCTCTCCAACAATTCTCCATCCGCTCCGCATCATCATCTCCTTTCTCGCCATCGCGCGCTGATCGCTGACCCGTGTCTCACTCTTGGCTTTGCGCGTACGACATCCGATTCACCCCGACCAAAATTGGCTCCTCTTGACCAGCACAAGCCCTCGCGATTAGGTCCGCGCAAGCGTCATTCACCTGACCCAAACGCTCGACCCTCCCTCCCTCCCTCCCTCTCTCCCCGTCATATTCCTCTCACACCCATCAGCACACTCCATCATGGCGTCCCCCGCACCAGTCGCGTCCCCACGGACGGAGCACAAGACAGTGGCCGAGCCAGCCAAGGTGCGCTACAACCCATCCAACAGTGTCTGTTCACCTCGCGTCCTCAGGGAACGTCATAAGACACCCTTACCATCCCACCTATGACGCCGCGTTCGGTGTCTGCGCAACGCTAGGCGCCTCTGGCCGCTGTGCGGCCCGTCGTCGAAGCGTGGCGTCGTCCCATTTCTTCTACATTGCACCCCGAGTGAATGCTGACCTGTCCCCACTTTCGCCATCAAACTCTCCGCCGATGTCACTGTGTTCCCTTGCGTCATCCAATCTACAGGCATCCACATCCGCGTCTGATGTTACCACAACCCCGAGCTCGTCTTCCGCCGCCGCCCCAGAGGCATCTGTGAGCACTCCAGCTCCCGAGGTCGCCTCCAAGAAGGAGGCCGACTCGGCTGAACCCGCTCCAGCTGCCGACGGTGCCGACGAGGAAGAGGAGGACATCGGACCGGTCCCCACAGACCCAGAGGGCATTATCAACATGGAAATTTTCGGACAGATCCAGGACATGGACGACGACGATGAAGACGACGCTGTGGGACACGAGTTCTCCAAGGGCATCGTCTGGGGCTACTTTGAGCAGGCCGAGAACACGTTCAAGCAGATGCAGGAGGCCATGTGAGTTCATCACACGGTTGAGAGTCCTAGTCGGCGCTAGCGATCTATCCCCGGCGACTGCGGAGCACACATGTGACTCTCGGGCCAGCCTTCGATAAGATGGAGCTGACGCCTCAAGTGAGGAGCCGTCCTTGTGGAAGCTGTCGTCACTGGGCCACTTCCTCAAGGGCTCAAGCGCAGCACTCGGCATCATCAAGGTGCAAAACTCGTGCGAGAAAATGCAACACTACGGCAACCTGCGTGACGAGGAGGTCGGCGCCGCACTGAGCGAAGACGAGGCGCTCCGACGCATCAAACAGTTGCTCGTCGACTGCAAGCGCGACTACGCCGTCGCCTCGGCATATCTGCGGCAACTGTACGCCTCGTATGACGAGTAGACGCCGCCCATCTCCGGTGCTTGAATCCGCCCGCCACGCACTCTCAAGACCGCACGCAATGGCACGCCAGCTCGTCACTGCATAGACTGTCCACCGGCATTGCATCTCGAGCTCCACATCTATCGCTTCCGTTATCACTACCCCGTCCCGCCCTGAATACCCGCCGGTCCCCTTCCTCCTCCGCTTCGACACCATTCGGCAACACTCTCGACACTTGACCTCGCCGACCGCACTCGTGTGCTCTTGGTGACAATGACTGTAGCATTCCCCGTCTCCTCTTCTCCCCGGCCTGTCTCTCCACTACTGCACGTCTCGGGCGCGCGTTTAATGATGCAGATCCTATACGAATACCGGCGCAGTAGCTCTAGCGGGGGATTGCCTCTCCCACTGAACTTCTTGACCGCACCGTGGCAGCTAGAGAGCTTCACAGTCTACCTAACAACCCCAGACAACAGTGATACCCTAATAACAGACTGGCACATGCCCTATACCCTCTACGTACAGTCACAGAAAATGCCTTACGCGACACACACCATGGCGCTAATGCTTGTGGTTCGGCCGGAAGAGGCCGTGCAGGAATGGGCTTTCAGAGTAGCCCCCGCTGAACCCCGGTGCACCCCACTGCGCCTGAGGCTGGAAACCAGATGGAGGTGGCGCAGGCGCAGGCGCAGGCTGGAAGCCGGATGGACCGGGTGCAGGTGAAGGCTGGAATCCAGACGGCGGTGGGATGGGCGGCACGTACCCCGCATTGGGAATGCTGCCGCTGATGCTGGCTGGGCGGTTCGATCCGCCGATGGGAGCGTTGAGCATGCCCGTCTGGCCGGGGGGACGGGGAGAGATGGGTCTAGGGTTGGGGTTTGGCGAGACAGGCCTGAGGTTTGGCGAGGCGGGGCGATGTTGGGGCGGCACGGGCGTGCTGAGGGTTGGCACCGAGCCTACCATCGACGCTGGACGGGCTTGGGCTGGGGTCAGCTGCTGTGCGTACCCGCGGCGGAGCGCGCACCTACGGGAGTGGGGCGCTTGTTGCTGTTGGCACGCGCGGCCCCGCCGGCTTTGAGGTCTGGGAGCTCGATGGTGGACAGGTAGATTGCGAGGTTGGGGGGAGGCTTCCACGAAGGCGCGCCAAAGGGGGCATCGTCGAGCTTGATGACGCGCGGGCCCTTGGACTCGGCCTCCTCCTCGAGCACGTACTGGTGCAAATCAGCCTGTTGGTTGCGGTGTCGGAAGCGGTTGACGCCTAGAACGACCTGGAGGGCGCGCTGGGCGGCACGTGCGTCCTTTGTGCGGATGATGATGAAGAGAATACTGGGGTCCTCGAGGAGAGCGATGGCGCGATCAATGTGCGTATTGAGGTCCGTGTTCACCCCGACGATGACTTCATTCGCGTCCTCGTTGTAGACCTCCGGTGGTGGGGACGGGCGCTGCGGCGCGCTGGTGGGAGGGCCTGCGGGCAGGGGCTTGTTCTGTGCAGGCTTTGGGGCCTGCGAACCTGAGCTTTGCCGGCTGTTCGAGGCGGAGTCGGCGCCGTCAATTAGCGCAGTGAAGGTGATGGCCAAAAGTGTCTCCAAGCCGCGCAGGTCCTTGATCTCGTGTCCCAGAAATCGCTCGATGTTGTAATGGAGAATCGACAGCTGAGCAGGCTTGCCGTCGCGACCTGCAACACGTCCCAGAGCAATGTCAATGTTAGGGTCGGGGCGGCGGTCCATAAAGCAGGCCATATCCTTGGACGTGATCCCGCCATCTCGCTTCCACATGTACTTGTTGCCCTCGAACTGGAAGGACCATTCCTGTCGTCAGCGGTAAAGAGCGGCCGGCGCCAGGGTGACGCCGCGTCACGCACGAATCCGAGCTTGCCAGTGAACTCAAAGGGGACTTTCTCGTCGGGACCATGGAGCTCGAGCCGCCGGCTGCGGAGACGCTCTGTGAACAGTCCCGTTGACGCGAGCTTGGCCTGCGAGAATGCGTCTGCTGTTAGCCAAGGCAAGTCAGAGCGAGTGGGAGCCGAGCGAAATAGCGTGGGAGAGGGTGAAGTTGAATGATTAGCGAGCGGTGGCAACGTCGCCGCCACCCACACGGCACTCCCCAGCGAGCGCGCTCGCGCTCATCCACAATCCCGGGCTCACCGTATAATGCAGCGCTGTACACCTCGCCGTCTCGCGAAGTCTCGCGCACGCGCCCGTATCGGATCGCTTGGTCCTCGACCGCGCGGTTCTGGTTGTAGTTCTCGATCAGGTAGAGCACGTTGGGCTGCTGCGCGGGCACGAGGGAGAGCGTGTAGCACGCCTTGTCACGGAGGGACATGGCGAGTTAGTCCCGCAAGCGCGTGAGAACGTGAGGGAACGAGACCGCGAGAAGAGTCGAAGCGGAAGGGAAGAGAGGGAGGGAGCCCAAGGGGGAATGGATTGAGTGGGAAGGGTGGGGAGGGGGGAGAGAAGAGTGGACTGGGATAGGAAGTTGACCGAGGGAGCTTGTACCGCTGAGGAGCGTAGAGGCCAGAGATGAGTAGAGAAGAGATGAGAGAGGAGTTGGATGGTGTCGAGACGCGAAAGGAATGGAGGAGCATGTCAGTGCATTCTCCAGTGTTCAGGGCATCCCCAGGCTGTCAGGCACCGCCCCGCACAGCCCAGCTGGGCCCAGTTTATCGTTGGCCGGGAGCTTCCCGCAATCTCTTACTCCAGTGTTGTGGTCATGCGCGTGTCTGTTCCAGTTCCAAAGCACCAAAGCATGCGTAGAGTCTGCAGCCGAACAGATCGGCAAAAGCGGTCATTCATTTCAGGCCTGCATCGCATCTACAGTAGGCGTGGTATCTCATGCCGAACTCGTAGGAACGACTCCGGAACAGCAGAGGCACCCGTCGCGGAACCGACACGCGTTCATCTCACGCGGCAGAGCTGTGCCTCAGCGCGACGTATCCGCCTGCATCGCCTTGAGTGTTGTGATCTCATAATACATAGTCTGCCTATATTGCGCACATAACACAAGAGACCGCGCGGAAAAGCTGGAGGCTTTGAATGGCGGTCACAGTCGTGGGTTGCCGTCGGCCGCGAGTTCTATCGCGAGCACTGGAAGTTTGGTCGGCCGCGGTGGTGCTAAATGTTTGGGACCAGACTGAGCATACAAGACAGAGCCGGTCTCTGGATGTACCTGCCCGTGGAGGCTACAACAGGTCGTCTTCAGGTTGGGGAGAATATACAACTCGTTGACGTAATTGTGAAGGGTGCTGATGTCAGACGGATCGAATGTTTGAACAACGCGCCGCGTATCTCAGTTATGCCTCTCCAGTCGCCTGCCCACACCATTAAAATGGGTTCCGACACATGTACAAGTCGAATTTCGCCCGTCCTTGCCTCATTTGCTACGCTGAGGTAACAACCTCATTTCCAAGAACCGCTCACTGATCTCAATCCTGGCTATCCACTCCACTTACACGCTTACCGCCGCATCTCAGCATGGGTAACAATGGCGCTCTTCATGCCGTGGCCGGCCGGTGCTCGCGTACTGGCTGTGACGGCGGCATCACGCGAAGAGCTCTGGCTCGGCTAGGGCATTCGGATAACCGTCGAGAAGACACTACAACTGACATGTGTCCCCCCGCCGGTTAATAACATGCTGCCGCCACCTCTGCAGCGCGTCTGCTGTCACGCGACAGTAAGGTCAGGGGTCAAGGTTAGACTCCTTCTCATATTCCATTGAGATGGTGCCTTGCAGTGGTGAACCCATCGACGGGTATTTGTGAGATAAGGCGTCTCCTCTGACTATGAGGTGTTCTCCGAGGCCGAGGTGTAGAGGTGGGCACCGGCGACAGAACACATCCGCGCAGTACGGTGGCGAGCGCGGCTCTCCCGTACCCGGCGAAACAGGCGTCTCAACTGTCCCAGAGTCCTCCGAACCATGCACAAAGCCTTGGCATCGCTTGGAGCTGCAGCCGATGCGCTTAAGTAAGACGGCTGATCAGCAACTCTGTTCGGCTGCACGGCCGTTTGCTTCTGCTTCGCACTTGAACGCCTGAGCTAAGCGCTGGGCGCGCTGATGATCTAGGTCAGTGCGTGCACGGCTCCAAGCCGTACCTGCTCTTGAGCAGACTTCGAGTCTTTGTAGAGCCCTGGTGTGCGGCCCACGCGCACCGCATAGAACTAGCGCAATCTTTACGTAGGGTGTGAGAAGTGGCGGTCGGAGGAATTGGATGATGCGAAGATGGGGACGCAGCCGTGCGTTCTCTGTGCCGGGTAAAGCAAGCGGCGTGCGATGTGATGAGACTGGTCTGCGTTGGAGAGGAGGGGCTAGAGGAGGAGTTGAAGAGGGGGAGACCGTTAGGGGGTGAATAGCTTTGCACAGCGAGAAGAGGAGCGGGTTTATTCGTACACAGTTGCTGCATGTATCTTTATGGGGTTGATGGGCATCACGGAGGAGCTTATCAGTTAAGGACAAGGACGGGGAGCGGAAATAGGCGACGCCGGTTGTACGGAGGTGATCCCCGTCCACGTGGCCTCAATGTGCCTATTTGGCTTTGTGGCACAGACCGTCTGAATTGCGAGATATCTGCAGTGGCGGTGAGAGTTTCGCTGGCTGACGACGCGACCGAACAGCACGAGCCCTGTTTCTCAAGGATCTGAGCACGGGCGTAATATTTCTCCTCGACTCGTCCCCTTCCACATCAAAAGAGCCAGCGAGAGCCAGGGGCAGAAAGTGACGCGAAGCGCAAGAGGCGCGCTCGATCGCGCTCCGCCGTGCGCTGCGGTGCGACAGGGGCGGCGGCACGACGGTGACGCGGCGACACGACTAACCCGAACCTAGAGAGAGCAAGAGAGCACGAAGCCTATGTCCTTGGCGCGGGCGGACCTACTCACCTATCTCGCTACCTACCATTCCCACCTCAGCTTCGCGCTGCTGACCTCAGCCCGGGTTATGCGGAGGAATGTGGCCGTACAAGGTGGCGCAGAAGCAAATGGTGGTGTGGGCGGACGGGGTGGTCGCGAACAAGGCTCGGGTGTCAGCCGCTCGCCCCGCCGCAGGGTAGGGGCTACCGGATCGTGTCCTGCATGTCCCGTCAGGAGGCAAGATATGCAGGACTTGCTAGACGTGCAGGACACGACCACTCCCGGAAAGCGCAGGTGCACGATCACCAACTGCGTCGATGCGGCCCTGTAAGCTGGGCGGCCTGGCGTCCGCTGGCACACTGGCGTGGCGGACTAGAGGCGAAAAGATCTCGAGCAGCTGCTTTCTCTTCGATCTTCCTTCGATCTTCGTCTCAACTCAGACCAGCACATCGCATACACACCACACAGGCGAGCCCGATAGTCAACCCAAGCCTGTCCCGCCGAAAAGACTGATTTTCCACGTGAGGGCTTGCTGGACGTGCTTTGCTTCTGCGGGGAAACTGCTGGCCTCGTGATACACACGCTCGTTCTGCTCGCGGCTCGCCATTCCACCGAGCCACCGACCGACCACCGCCTTCTGCTCTCGTCCTTTTCTACTCTCCACATCCTCTCTTCACTCATCTTATTGCCATCTAACACTCCTCATCCTCTCGTCTCCTCGTCTCCGCGAGCCCCACCAGTCCCACAAGTCACGATTTTAGGGTCACGAGGTATGCGGAACAGCGGCCAAACTGCTTACGTCCTGACAACAAGGCCTGCCCAAACTCGTCCGTGCGACCGGTCACCCATGGTGGCAAACAACGTCGCCACTCGCGCGCAGCGCGCAAGCCCCTCCAACCCCTCTCTCCCGTCGGTGCATCCCAAGCTCGCCAATGTCGGGCCTATAGGCCTCCTGGCCGATGTTGCGTTGGGCTACACTGCCCCGCGCAAAATGTTCGAGAGTAACACACTTCCGCCCATCGCCCACCTTACCGGTGAAGTGCGTGCACCAGCGCTTCGGCGCGCCCCGCGCCGTCTCTCTCCGGCCCCGGCCTCACGTATGGACTGGAAGGACGCACAGAGCCACCAGGTGACGCCCGCGCCCAGGCACTGCCCCAAACTGGCTGACGACCAGATGAGAAGCTCGTCGCCGTACCTGCAGCTGCCCCCGGCAGCAGACCGCCCCGACCCGATCCGCGGCCATCACCCAAGCCAAAGCCAAGGTCAGCACCTACCACACGTCCAGCACCCGCACCAAAGCCAGTCCACGCACTACTGGAGCGAGCGGGGCGAGTGGTATCAATACCCTCGCCCGCCCCCTCTCGTCGCTACCCAGTCGCACGGCAGCCACCCGCGCACCAAAAACGCTCACCGCTCCCACCCCGGTCCGCACCCCTACCAGCGCACACAGTCCATGGCCTCTGGTGTAGGCGCAGGTGGGAGCATGGCCGCGCATATGGGCTCCGATGTTGGACACCTACGCCCTCCCTCGCACCCAAACTCTCGCCATTACGCGCACCCGTCCGCGTCTGGGCATTCCGCTGGGCATACCGCCGGCCTCCCCTCTCCCGCCTACACGACTCACAGTGGGGAGCGCCACATTCCTCTGCCCATCCACCCTTCGGCAAGATACGCCCCAGGGCGGGGCACGCATTCCGCCCCCACCTCCACCCCCGCCTCCACCCCTGCTTCCGCATCGGCGTCTGCCTCCGCTGCCCAGTCGAGACCCACCTCGGGCAACGCGACGCCACAGCCACAGCGTGTCGACCCAGCTCTGCAGAGCGGCGACGATCACTCGAGTGACAGTGACTCGAGCGATGACGAAGACGAGTGGACGCCGGTGGCGAAGCGCCGTGCACCGGCTCCGCGCACGCGTGCATCAGCGCGCCTAGCGGTCAAGCGCGAGAGAGACGACAGCGAGCTCCGCGAGGTCGAGGACGAAGAGGAGGGGCCGAGCGCTAGCACCTCCCCAATAATCGACGGCAAGCCTAAGAAGCGGACGTACGTGCGCCGTGACGCCCAGCGCCGCAAAGAGCAGAACGCGCAGGCGCAAAAGAAGTTCCGGTGGAAGAAGAAGGTCCTACAAGAGCAGGTGGGTCAGAGTAATACAAGAGTTGCTAACAGCAGATGCGTGCCGACCTCGACGAGCAGCGTGCACTAGTCGAGGAGCTGCGGGAGAAGTGCGCCGCGCTCGAAGACTTGCTAGGCGAGCACGAGGTTGCGCTAGCCGCTGCACAAGAGGACAACGCTCGCCTGGCCGCGCGCCTGGAGGGGTGTGCTTGTGAGTAGGATGTGAACCTGGTATCTGTGACCAGGAAGTGTTGTTCCGTAGCGGTTGTATGTGGCATGATAATATGCAGCATGATACTCGTCCCAGCTCATGATTTCAGACAAGTGAGATCCCTGCATGGGAATCGCACCTTCGACAGGGTCGTACGTCTCACACCTATGCTACATGCACCATGTCTGGATGTGCTGTACCATGCCGAGCCAGTTATGTTCTTGCACTTGATGATTGACGAGCATGATACGTTGGTCGTCGATCATGACTCCCATTGGGTTATGGTCCAGCCGTCGCAACACGGTGCGGTAGGGAAGGCGAGTGACAATGTCGACTTCCCAAGCATCGCTCTTGATTACCGTAGGCGCAGGAGAACCCCCTACGCTTGGTAACGCTTGATTGCCGGCAGCGTCCTTCGCCGGGTGCGTCTCTGGTGCGCCCACAAATTGCACCCCAGTTGACGGCTTCATGCGTTTGCCGGCCCACCAGTGCGGATTGAAGTCGTGCACACACAGCTCGGTCGAAAAGCCATGGCTGCTCGCGGGCCGCCGCACCAGGCTCGCGTACCGGTAGCCAGAGCACGAGCAAACCCAGAGCCGCCGCATGAGCTGTGGCGGAGGCATGACACGCGTCGAGTGCTCACCCCACTCGTCCCATTCGAATGTGCGTGTAGGTGAATCAGCGTGGTGCTTCCGCCGTGGCTTGGCCGAGTAAGTTCGTTGCCTGTCGTCCGCGTGACCGCTGGCGCTTGCTGGCGATGCCGGCGAGCCGTTCCGGGACCTCGGCGGCGACCTACTTCTGGATCGGATCATGTCCGGATCGCCTGGGGTGCTCGAGCCCGAACTTGAAGCGGGTGAAGACGCGTTGCGGCGCTCCGCGCGCTTTACCGCATTCCGATGCCAAATGTCGTGCAGCCGTTCTTCCCCTTCCTCCGCCATTTGTATCAACGTCTCGCGAAGGATGAACATCTCGTAGCACTCAGACCGCATGCGCATTGGCATCACGAGGTGGTCGTCATCCATTGCCAACTCAATGACGATGACGCCTCGGCGCGGATCTTGTGTAAAAGGCCTGACACCCAACGTTGCCTGTTGACTTGGCACAGGTGGGAACGCTGGGTCTGGCCGCATATGCATCTGCGACACCATCGATCCGGCGCGCATAGGCGGGAGGAGAAGACGCACGACGAGCACAAAGCGCGGCGAGGTCGAGTCCGACTCAGATCGCTCCAAGGGTGCGGTGCTGGTCGGTGCTGGTTTTGAGGGGTCATGCGCGAAGGAGAAGATGTCAATGCTAGGGGGGTGAATGAAGACAGGATTCTGGTTGTCCATGAAGCCTGGGACGCCGCCGAACATCTCTCGAAGCGTAGGCCCAATGACCGCTGGCATTGTGAGAGCGACGGTCGTCGGCGTAAGGAGGGCCATGCTGGTGCGCGCAAGCGTCTCGCCGAGGGATCTGCGGCCCAGGACAACGCCGGTCTTCCAGTTCCAGGCAAACAGCTCCTCCTCGTACGCCGCGCGCACGGCCGTCAGCTCGTCCTGCACAGCGATTAGGACAACGAGGGTGCTGTCCATGACTTGGAGAAGCTGCTGGCTGACGTGGCTCATTTCCCCGTGGACCCACGGCGGTGCGTCTAGGGTGGGAAACTTGGCGAGTGGATGCGGTTCGCCCGTGCTCAGGGATAAGAGGTGGAAGCGGTGGATCGGTGCGTGGCCACTCGCTCTCGGCGGTGAGTGCTCGCTCACCACGATAAGGTCCTGCGAAGGGTCCATGGTCAAGTCGGCGATGGGGAAGCCCACGTCGACTTCCTTGCACGGGATGATGGGGGAGCCAATATCGGGGTCGACGGAGGAGGCAAGCGGGATGAGACGGATCTTCGTGGGCTGGAGTCAGCGGTTGTGTCAGCCACCGATGTGTGACATCCGTCGACCCACTCTGACACTGTGTGATATGGATCTCTCTTGGCAAAGCAGGAAAATGCCGTCCTGAAGCTCGTAGACGCCTGCGGGGCCAGAAACAGAAAACTCGCGCACTTCGGCGGGCATGAGCTTGTCGAATCTCTGCTCGCGCTCGGCGAGGAGTCGAAGCTTCTCTGCTGCGGAGAGGGCGCTGACATCTCTTCGTGGGGGCGCATCCTCCTCCCACGCGGCTAACTCGACCGAAGGGATCGTCGCGCGCCTCGCATCCGAGTAAGGCGATGTCTCGATGCTCGCGCCCTCCAGCGGCCACGGTGGCGGGGCAGGCCTGTTTGGTACGTCGAGGTAGCCTCGGGCAGCGAGGGCTGCGCGGTACGCTAGGCGGGGTGCTTTGGCAACTTCTCGCAAGGCGCAACATGTCTGAGGTCAGAAAGTGCAAGGAAGGAGCCGGGACTGGCGAGGGATTGGAATGAGAGATGGCGGGTTCAAAGCCAGCCGGGGTGGCGATGCGGAGAACGGGACCGCCGAGGTATCGGTAGGGGTGAGCTGGATGGATCTTGGGAGCTGACAGTGGGAAGCTTGAGAGACCAGTCGCACGGGGAGGATGACGGATATGAAACGGATTCGGGACACTGTGAGCCACGACTTACCTGCGATGCGGCCACCAGGCCGTCCAGGTCGAGGTTGGCGAGGACGCGCTCGAGAATCTCGCTGGGTAGCTCGAGAATAAGACATGGACCCCCTTCTGGCGTATCTTCTGGAGTTTCTCTCCGCCTCAGCGCAAACATAACGGTAACGACAACAACGAAAGCAATAGGAACGAGCATGAGCTCGGGGGGAGTGATTGTGAGATCGAGAGTGAGATGCAGTGGAGCATGACCGCTCGATGATGGGTGTCACGTGACTGTGCACCTGCTCACCCCCTCTTAGCGCTTCACAACATGATTCAGGACCGGTCCGTTGATACATTTCGTTCACCATAAACCATGTCCGCACCAAAGCGCTCGACGGTGTACGTCGCGGGATTGCCAGCAGCTGTTAATGAAGACCAGCTGCTGGCTACGTTTGTCACGTTCGGCGACATCCTCGAGATCAGCATGCCGCATGAGCAGCACGACTGTGAGTCCTTCCTTCCTCTAAGATCTGATGACTCACATTAGCAACAAAACACCGCGGATACGCCTTCATTACCTTTGCAGAGGCGGCGGACGCGCAGGAGGCCATCGACAACTTCGACCTGAACGAGCTGCCCGGGTACGCGGGGCAAGGCAAGTTCCTCAAGTGCTCCATTGCGAACCCAAACAAGTACGGTGGCGACAGCAGCGGCAAGCATGGCCGTGCATGTGAGTTTATGCAGGGGCGAGCTGACATTCTGTGTGGGAAAGCGAAGAATGGCTGCGCGAGAACGCAGAAGCGGGGCCAGACCTAGCCGCGGCGGCGGCGGCGGAGGCGCAGAACGGAGCATAGATATGTATCAAGTAGAGACTGAGCGTTGGTATGGCGCGGCCCGGCGTGAGAGAGGACACCCTCACGAGCAGAATCAGATGTTTCGCCGAGGTCGGAGCATGCTGCTCCCCGGCAGGTGTCCCAAGTGACCAGCATCAAGCTATTGCGCTCTACCAACTCTCTCCTCATGCTTATCGCGTTGCCTCTGCCCTTTATCACGAGCATATCACCTCTGGCCGTCGTACTGGATTCGATTACCGACATTCTCTCTCACGTGGCTTCTTGCACCAACTACATCGCTTCTACGTCCTACTCTACTGGAATGTGGGCGATCTCCAAGACTCAAGGAAGCCTGATGAGAAGCTGTCGTCAGCTGCAGCATGTGATGTCAACTTACGTATGGCACTTCAACGTCCTCGCCACTCGAGTCATCAGCCATAACCTCTACCAGCAAACTCTTCTGCCACGACGGCAACGGCTTCTTGCTGACCTCCTCGACGAGGTCTGAGATCTTCTTGGGAAGACGTTCAGCCGCCTGTCTGTCAGCAATGCCTCTAATTGGACCGACCTTCTTAGCGGGAGTGAACGCTGACCACAGCATGGACACGCCCTGCGACACCATCTGCAGCTCGAGGCCGTGCTTCTCCTGGAACCAGTCGATGATCTCCTGCAACGTCGGGTTGCCCTCAATCTCGAAGCGGTCCCACAGAGTCCACTCAGTGTCATTGTACTTCTGCTTGGCGGCAGCGATGGGCTCCGAGAAGCCGAAGAATGGCAGCGCCAGGTTGACGAAGCCGTTCTTGTACTGCTCGATGTCGTCCTTGCCGTCAATGATCTTGTACAGCTCGAGGCACACCAGGCCCACGGCGAGGGCGGTGGTGGTCGCGATAGCGGGGATGATCTTGCCCGCAATCAGCTTGGTCTTGTGGCGATCCGCCTCGGTGATGCTGTAGTTACGCGCGCGAAGGTTGGAGGCCGCCGTGATGAAGTCGATGTGGTGGTTCGAGTCGTCGTCCTTCTCAAAGTCACAGGGCGCCAGGCGGAAGCCAGCAAGCGAAGAGGGAGAGGGGAGAGTCTTGACAATCGACTCAATGTCGTCCGAGTCATCGGGCGTCTCGTTCACAGGCTCGTTCTCGTTAACCTGAATCTTGACGCCGCTCTTCGGCACAAACTTGGGCACCTCAAAGCCCTCCAGCGCCTTGCGGAAGACAGCAGGGTCACGCTCTCCCTTGAGACCATAGTTGTAGGCATGAAGGTTGGCCGCTGCCACAAGGTAGGCGAAGTCAAGCTCGTCGTCAATGTCGAACGCAAGCGGGTCCGGGGCACGCTTGGGGCCCGACCAGAAGGGGGTGCCGTTCGAGTTGACCTGGTCCTTGGGAAGGTTGTACAGGAGCTGACTGATCTCGTTGACATAGTCGTTCTGAAACTGCAGACGAGCCCACTGAACGCACTCGGCAAACGTGGTCGGGCGGTTGACAAGGTAGCGCTCAATCTGCTTGAGCTGCTCGTGGTGCTGGCCAGAGCTCTTGAGCGTAGTCTCGACAAAGTTGGGCTGCGAGAGGTAGAGGTTAACGGTCTGGGGAGGGTTGACGAACAGGGCGTCGAAAGCCTCACGGGCCCACTAGATGTCAACTGGATAACTGGTTGATAAACTTACCTGAATGGTGTGCTCAATGGCGTTGGGGAAGTTCTTGACCGTGCACGAGGGAATCGACTTCTCAGGAGGGTCCTGCGAGGACGAGTACGACTCGGTCATGAACGGGATGACGACCTGGGTGTTGGCCTTCGTCCCGAGCGTGCCCGACTCGAGGAGCGGCTTCTGGTAGAACACGCAGCGGCGGTCCATGTACTGGCGCGCCATCACGTTATCGAGCGCATTGGTCACACAGTCGAGCTTGCTGAAGAACTCGTCACCGAACGTCTGCTCGGTTTCGGGGCCCACACGCTCCTGGTAGGTGGTGATCTTGCCCTTGAGGGCAGGGTTCATGTCAGTGACGGCGGCCGCTGCGGACGCGGCCTTGAACTGGCCAACGTCCTTGGCGCGGAAAAGGAATTGGCGGTTAAGGTTGGACTTCTCGATGGTGTCAAGGTCGGTGACAACGATCGAACCCTCGGGGCCAGAGCCAAGACCCATCATCGACCAGTTCTTCAACATCTCACAGCCAATGGCTCCCGATCCGACTAGGAACTGGCGGTTGGCGGCAATCTTGTCGTGGAACTTCTTGCCGAACACAGCGATCTGGCCATCGTAGCGAGAGCCGGTGGGCTGGCAGTCGGCCTCGGTGGGGAGCTCAGTGGGGAGCGACTCCAGAGAGTCGAAGTACATGTTCTGCTGCATGGGGTGGAACTTGGCCGAAACAGCCTTCAACACCTCCTGCGCGACGAAACCACCGATGACAGCAACCATGGGTGAGAGATCACCAGTGGCCTGGAACGCGAGCTGTTCGAGAATCTTCTCGTCAAGCTCGCCCTCGGTAGCGGTGGACGAGTGAATCTCCTTCGCGATGGCAATAAGAGCGGCAGCATCCTCCGAGCTGTGAGCACGGGGAAGGCGGCCGTTCTTCTCGAAGTACTGCGACAGCGCCTGGAAACCGACGTGCAGTGTCGCGGGGCGGTCCCACTTGGCAAAGTCAGTGATGAAGTACTCGGGCTGGGTGAGGGTGTCCTTGAGAGACTTGAAGTGCAGGACCTTGGGCATCTTCACCTGCGTGAAGAGGCCGCCCGACTTGTACTCTCCGAGGCCGGTAGTGTCGCCGATGCTGAAGGTGTAGGGGCCTGATGTCAGCTTGCGCATACGTTTACAGCTCACCCTTGACGGTGATCTTCCGGGGCTCGCAACCGTTCAGTGCCTCCATGCCCTTGACCTCGGCGAAGGTGACATAGTCACCGTCCTCCAGGCCGTGGCGCGTCTCATCCAGGCAAGTGACAAGCGCATCCGGCCCATCCTCGATGTGAACAACCATGCCGCTCAATGGGTTCTCGCCGGTCAGGTCGACGCAAGTAAAGTCATCGCCGAAGTCGTTGAACACCGACCCGAAGAGGCCGCGCACATCAGCAGCAATGAAGAAGATGCCCTTGGTGCGCGTGAACTCGTCAATCTCAATCTGCTTCGCGAGCGTCGTGTTGGTGAGAACGACTGCCTGCCGTCAGCTCGAGCCCAATCAGTGCAGTTCACCTGATAGGGCGCAACCATGTCGGGGGTGATCTCGCCGCTCCCCTCCAGCACCTTTACGGGCACATACGAGTTGAGCTCGGCGAGACGCGGCGCCGTTACTTCGTGACGCGGCTTGCCGACGTCCTCCTCACGCAAGAAGAACTGGCGTCAGTGCGCGCCCATGCGCTTCACAAACCTGAGTGCCGAGGTCGGCGATCTCAACCGGCGCCGGGTCGTAGATGGTCACACTCTTGACGCCGGCCAGGGCGACATTCTTGGCTGCGCGTCAGTGCTGTCTTGGCGGCACGCACCAATCTCGACACCAAGGCCCTTCATTCCGACAATTAGGACGTTAGAGTTGGCCATCTTCTTCATCGCTGACGTTAGCTGATTAAGAGCATCGCGCGCTCACCCTCATGGCCGAGGACGTAGCTATGCGTCAGTGTTGACCGCGGAAGGTGATGCACTTACAGCTGGCGAGAATAGAGACCCTCTTATAATGTTAGTGGTGTAATGCGAGCGGGGTGCGTACCGTCAACTGCACGTTAGTCATACTCGTGAGGAACGGGGTTGGACGTACTCTGGTCGTTGCCAGCGACGGGGTCAACTTCCATCGCGGACGCCATTTTGGGCAGGGAAGGATGCGGATTGAAGTGAAGGAGGGTTGAAATGGATTGGGAGTGCTAACAGGCCTCGGAGAGACAGAACGGATAGGTGTCGAAGAGCTGTCTGCGACTGCGACGAGTGCGTGGGAGAGAGAGAGGAGATGAAGACGTTGGAATGTTGACGAAACAGGTGGTGAGCTGGTGGTGGCAAGGATCAGTCACTGCCAGCGTCATGACGATGACTCACGGGTCTCAGTTGGAACTCCGCGCGGAACCTAATATTCGCCCTCCCCCACTCTCGGTAGGTGTGTGTTATTGCTAATCACCAGCGCACGAATGTGAAGATCATGATAGAGATACATGTAGCATTATGGTGGCCCCTATCTACGTTACGTCTCTAAGGAGACTTCCTCAGACTCTTCCGTGGAGCGGGTGCGCTCGGAGTAGAGCTCGCCGCTGGTTTCACGACGCCGTTCGCCCCTACAAAGCCCGCGACGACGATGGATCCGTCGGTACATCCATACTGAGGTCAGCTTCCCATCCAATCTCACAGCTCGACTTACAACCAGCTTGTCGTGGTCCAAAGCCAGACTCATTGGGTTCTTGGCGGCAGTGTGCAGGCCTGCCTCGCGGCCCTGAGTATCCCACTTTCCGCCAAGGGACACGAGCTTCATGGTGGGCTCACCATTCTCGCCCAGCCGCTCCGTGCCAACTATTACACGCCGCTCCGCACCTGCCTTGGCCGAGAGTCGGCGGCTGGTTATTATACGCACACGGCCCGCCTCGAACGCGCCGCGCTCCGTGCCAGCTATGTCGAGGATTTCGACGATGCGTGGTGGACGCATGAATGCGTACTTTGACGCAGTTCCGCTCGTGGCGGCCACATCATCGTTTACGTTCGTCAACGTGTCAATCAGCTTGGAGCCGGTGTGCGGCGTTTTGTGCACCGGACTTGCGGCGGCACGGCGAGGCGTGGCTGGCGACTGTGGGCCGGGAGAAGATGCAACGCCCGTGCTGAGCCGGGGGCGCGCTGGAGTGGCAGCCGCATCTTTGCCAGGGCTCATCGAAGATGGCACTCCATTCTCCATCTCCTGCTGTTCTTCGGGCGTGGCCCAGTCCCACGCGAGGCGGATGACGATATCCTTCGTTGCGCACGCCATGAAGCGGCCCTCCGCCTCGAACCATGTCAGCATGCCGAGGGCGCCGACGCCAACATCCTTGAGCTTAGACGCGTACTCTGGCTGCCTGGCCGCCAGATCGGACAGCTTAAACGAGCCCAGCATCTCGCGCTTCTGGATTGAAAAGCTGCGTATCACACCGTCGACAGTGGCGGTGATGATGAAGTTGTCGAGCAAGTTCATCCCGATGCAGACGTTGGTTTGCTGGCCGAACCGCACGACCTTGTTGCCGGTGCGCCAGTCCCAGACAACGATCGCCTTGTCCGACCCCACCGAGATCATCCATTGTGCGTTGATGCTATGCGAGTCAGCAAGCTCGCCAATCTCCGCAACTCACGCGACCGCGCGCGTGCCGTGAAGATGGCCAGACAGAAGGCGGTCTGCCTTCCACTCGCCGTCGACCTGCCGCCACAATGTTGCTCGCCCCACATCGTGCGATCCTGTTACAAGCACCTGCTCAGGCGCGTAGTAGTCGAGACTCGAGACCGACTTGGCGGGGATGATCTGCGGTGGTGGCACGGCTTTGGCAGACGTGACAGCGTAAGGCAAGTGCCAGATGCGGATGCTGATGTCAGCCAAAAGAACGGAGTCTCAGCTCACGTGTCGTCGTAAGAGCCACTGATGAGCGTTTCGCCTGCGAGATGCAACGACGTGACATAGTTGCGGTGCCCGTTGAGCACAACGAGGCTCTGCACTTGTCCGTTGGTCCACTGCTTCTCGCGCTGCCACAGACGCTTGTACAGCCCAAGCCTTGTGTCAGCCTTCTCCCATATCCAGCTTACCAGTCGCCGTCCTCTGCAAGGCCGTAGTTGCTGAGATCAATGGTGCCGTCCCATGTCGCCTCCAGTTCTTTACACAGGGGTCGCCATACATCCGGGAGCGTGGCCAGCCGATCGTATCGTTTTCCCACCAGGCGGAGGTTGAGGATATCATGTCTAGGCAGAAACTGGACTGTGCGGATCACCAACTCGTCGTCCATGCGCCCAAGGACGCCGGAGCGAGCCTCCTTCATCCGCTCGAGCAGGTCAATCTGCTCCTGTATGTCGCCAGGCCGACAGGCTGCTCGTCAGTTGCTTTCCAAGTTGGAGATAGCTCACCATCAGCCATGACGCCGAGCAAGCTCATACGCTGCACCTTGGGCATGGCGTGCACGATGGCGCCGAGCGTCGCGCGATCATATAGCAAGTCAAGCACCTTGTCGGCACTGACACCAGCGGGAAGGTTGGGAGCCCGCGCGACGCGTGGAGCGCACCGCGCATGCTCCAACTGGAGGACGCGGTACTGTGTTTCGAGGGACTGGAGACGCGCCTTGAGCACATCCGCCTCGGACTCCTGTGACTTGGGGGCAGACTGGTGTCAGGGCGAAGACTGAGTGACTAACCTCGGGAGGTTGCGGCGGTTCGGCTCTACGCGCATCGCGAGGAGGCTTCGGTGGTGGCTCGACCGCGGGGGAGGGAAGCGGCGGGGCGGAAGACGGTTGTGCGAGTTCAGGGCGAAGCTGGGGCAAGGACTTCTTCAGCGTTGGCGCGGGTCTCGCAGGCGATGCAGTGCGCACCGGGGTGCTGGAACGACTGGGCGGCTTGTCCTTTGCAGGAGTCCCGGGGGAGGCCGCGGGCGGTGGACGCGTAAGACTCGGTCGCGCGCCAGCGTGTGGAACGCGAGAAGGTGTCCCCGGAGTGTCTAGCGATGGCGGGACGGCGGCGCGCAATGCAGACGGGGTACCCACGGTTGGGGGCCGTATCCGAGAAGCCTTGGGTGTGGGTATGCCTGTTCTAGCGGCCGGCGAGCCGTTCACCTGGGGCATGGAGTGTTGTTTGGACGTGAGAAGGGTGGACGAGCAAGTTGACGAGAAGACGTTCCCGCTCGTCACCCGCTGGCCCGCTGGTCGTGAGGCCGATCGTTTCTGGCGAGGGGAGGTGGAGGTCACGCATGACGTGGGGGTGAGGCCGGTCACGTGGTTTAGTTGCGCCGACCCACCTGATTTATCCGGCGGTGATCGGCGGCCACCATAGCTGTTACAACGACTGAAATAACCGACCGCCCGTTTTCTCCAAGATTATATAGTCAGGCGCGAGCTCTCTAGCTATCAGCCTGGCTCTTTGCGACTGAGGGGCCGATAGCTTCTCATATCTCTGCCCGATGCATAGGCTTGGATCTCTGCCCGATGGATAGGGGTTAGAGCTCAAGAGTCCTAAAGGGGCGGTGGTGGCCTGTGAATCAGGACTCGCTTGTGTGAATCTCAAGTTCCACGGTCCACGCGACGGAACCGTACATATCGAAACTAGCGATACACTTTGCTAAGCCGCCTGAGCAGCCTTAAGGCGCTCCTCGACCTCGGTCGGGCCCTGGAAGTGCTCGCGGCCATCGACGATCCACGCGACGCCGCACATAACGAGCACGATAATGAACACGACGACAGCATAGTTCATGTTCTCGGCCGTGACTGGCCGGAACGGCGGGAAGAGGAAGACGGTGCTGGTGACAGCAAGGAAGAGGAGCGCGAGAACGTTGATAGGGCGGCGCCAGCGGCCGAGGCTCCACCCCCGTTCTGGGCGGTGGGCGGCGAGCGCGTCGCGGCGGAACAGGAGGAGGAGGAGGGGCACGGCGTACGAGAGCTGCAGGAAGAAGATGGCCGAGCTCATGATGGCGTTGAGGGCGACGGTAGAGCCGAGGTCTGTATGAGCGTGGCGTAATTGGCGGGGGGCTTACAGATCAAGGCGAACATGATCACCCAGGCGGTGACAAAGACAAGGCTGTTGAAGGGCACGTTAAGGCGGGCACTGATGGGGGAGATGAAGCGTGATGCCTGGGCCAAGCCGCGGTCGCGCGCGAAGGACATGACCATGCGGGACGAGATGGTGAGCACGCTCTGCGTGCAGAAGAACATGGCGACGACGTTAATGAGCATGAGAGCCGTGGCCTGGGGTCAGCGAGGTTGGACGGGGACGCACTCCGACGCGGCTCTCAGTCGACTGGCGGTAGATCTCGAGCACCGGACCGATTGCTGAGGCCAACACGCCGTCCCAGCTCTTGAGGCAGAAGAGGAGGACGAGCATGAATGGCCACGCGGTAATGCCGCCTGTAATGGGCGCGAGAACCATGATCATGGGAGCGTTGCGCGCCGGCTGCGGCATTTCCTCTACGAGGTGAGTCACCGCGTCGAAAGAGGACGTGGTAAGCGTGCTTTGCAACATGCCGAGGAGGAATGCGAGGGCGTTAGGCCACTGATGTGAGCTAGCACCAGTAGGATGAACGCACGCCAGTGTTGTTAGTGAACGTCGTAAACACCGTCTTGGGAGGCTGGTACTCTCCGCGCGAGCAGAAGAGGAGGACGACCATGATGAGCGTCATGCCCGCGACGCTCCACACGCCCGAGAACCAGTCGAGGGCGGGGAGGGCGCGCACCGCGAACGCATTCAGCACGAAGCTGGCCATGACGAACGAGATGATGAGCGCGAACTCGTGCCATCGCGCGGGCAGCGTGTCCGACCAGAGGACGAGGACGCCCATGAAGAGGTTCTCGGTGAGGGCTGCGGCGGCCGCGAAGAGCGTGACCCAGCCGGCGCACGCAAGCCATCCCACAACCCAGCTTAGGGGTCGTCTCCATTTCTCTGGCGCGAGAAGGTAGGTCCAGTCGTACTGTCCGCCGGACATGGGGAGGACGTGGCAGATCTCGGCGAGGGAGACGGCCACAAACGTCTGCCCGACTACCGAGAGGATCAGGCCGTACAGCATGACTACGGGGCCGCCGGATTGCAGGCCCACGGGTAGACTGGGTTAGCGGGGGAGAGGAGAGACGCACGCAGCGGCCATCGCCGTCCATGTGTTCAGGAGGGTGAAGGCGAGGCCGAGGGCGGCGAGGAAGGAGAAGTTGCGCTCGAGCGCGGGTTCGTGAGTGGGCACATCGCGCTCCGAGCGGTCGAGGAGCGGCTGGCGCTCGGGCGTCATTTCAATGAGAGAGTGAGTGGAAGTGAGTAGAGCACAGCAGGATATATCGGTCACAAATGTCGGATGGGCAAAGTCAACCGCGATAAGTAATTAACCGATCAGGCATATCAATTAGCCGTGGGTGCTGAGTGACACTCGCCTCGACGTTCACGCGTTGAAAGTCAGAAGCGGGGCAGCCGCCGGTCGCAAAGATGAGTGTGCGGCACGATATGTCGCGCCGTGCACTCTACCTCCGAGTGCCCCACCTCGCCACTACACCTGTTGGCCGACCCTGACATGTCACCGGCGTCGACTCTCGCCGCTCCCCACTTGTGCACAACCTCCGCGTTCTCGGGCCGTATTCACGCCCATCGCGGGCGACGTAGTGGCACCCGCCTGTGCCAACTCCCATGGGCAACTTGGCGGAGTGGTTAACGCGATTGACTCGAATGTCCTAGCGTGCTAGGGATATCAATTTCCTTCGGGAGCGCATGTTCGAATCATGCAGTTGTCGTTTTGTTTGCCCGCAACACAAGGACGCTAACGGCGACAATCATCCGCCGAAGCCGCTCGCGCTCGCAGTTCGCGATCTCGCGAGGTACAGCGGGCCACTCGACCTACGGACAGCATCGTGACTCAGAGCACTAGAGCTCAGAGGATCACCTCCGAGGACCAAGAGAGAAGAGGGCTCGTGTCAGCGATGTCCGAGGCTGCTGATTTGTGCGGCGCACGTTGGCACCTATGCCGCATCGGACCGATTCGCCGCAACTTCGACCCATCCCACGATGTATGGAAGCCTTCCGCTTCTGGGCGCTGATCGCTAGGGACAGCGGGATGCCTTGCCCTGTTGATATTCTGGAACTGGAGCCCGAAGGATTGCGGAGGAAAAGAAGTGTGGCGCCGAAAAGGAATCACATTAGTGGTGCCACTTGTGGAAGCCATTCATTGCCCTGTTCACCCTAGCTCATCATCCGACCTCGACGTGAGTTACCGTCCATTGCCCGTGCTACTCCGTGCATGCGTAGACGGCATGCTTGCGTGCCAAACGTGCATCGGGCTTGGCTTGGTCCGAAACAGCGCACACGCCAACCGGCGGGCCCCTGCTCACCCTCTTGCCAAGACTTGGCAGCCCAACGCTTTCCCGCAGTTGTGATTGCCCGAAACCACCCTGTGTCTTATCTTATCATTTCATCATTACCCCCTATTCATACAGTTATCGGCGGGCAACGCAGAGCGTACCCGCGGGATATAAATATATAAGGCTCGAAACGGAGCGTACCAGCGCAATGCAGCAGGGAGTGAAGCGCACCGGTACGACCCGCGAAAATGTCCGGTGTGCGTTTTCCACGTCACGTGTCGTACAGGAGAAGGGCAGTCGCGAGCGCAAGCGTCCCGGCGACGAGGCCACCAGCCATGTAGGAGGGCGAGGCAGCGCTCTTGATGTAGCCGGCGCCAGTGTCGGTGGAGTTGTCCTCCTTGGGCGTGGGAGGGGGAGGGGGAGGGGGGGTCGTGTTGTTGCCGATGATACCGACCTGATAGGCGCGGGTCGAGGCACCGTCGAGCGCCCAAGTCACTCCGCCGAGGAGGTGGAACATGAAGGTGTCAGTCATCCAGGCTGGAGAGTCAGTGTTATTTCTGGCGGTGACGTCGACCTCGGCCGATGAATGACTTACTCTCATTGGAGTGGCCCAGCGAAGTGTAGAATGAGCGGCCGTGCTTAGGAGCGCCTTCAACAGTGTAGTTGTACTGGGGCTTCTCGATGTACCAAGCTGAGCGTCAGCAGCTGCGGGCCCGAGTCATGTGGCGATCGAGGGGAGCGGCGCACTCGCAGTGTAGTGCGCCGCGTGCATGAGAGCTAGGCGACTCGCAGCGGAAGCTTACCAATGGGGTGGGGGGTACCAGACTTGGGAGGCTCATCAGGGTTCTCGGTAGGGTCTGTCTTGTTAGCGGGGAGTCGCGTTCCTGGTGCGGCGTCGGGTGATCGCAACTCACTGTAGAGCTTGGTCTTGTCAACGGTGACGAGGACAGTTGCGCCCATCTCGCGGGGGTCGGACTGGAAGAAGTAGACCTCCTCCGAGTAAGTCCACTGGTCAGGCATGTCGGCAGTGGCAGGGTGGTCCTTGGTGAGGGGCGAAAAGGTCTGTAAGCAAGTCAGCAACAGGCACATGCGGCATGTCTTGGCTTGCCGAGTGGGCTTGAGAGTTCCGGCGCCGGCAATACTCACGGCATTCTGCTGCTCGGGGTGGTACTCGAAGAGGGCTGAGCGTGTGAGCGTCGGGACCTTTTCACGTGGGTACAAGGGGGAGAAGGAACTTACCACCAACGGCGGCCTTGTAGGCGGTCATGTTCTGCTGAGTGCCACAAGCAAGGTGGACACCAGAGTAGACACCGCCCGACTGAAGCCACTTGGTGAAGACACCCTGCTGATCGGGGTTGAGGACTGCGTGTTAGATCCAGCGGAAACTCTTAGACAGAAAGAAACAATGTGTGACGTACTGGTTTCAGAGGTGGAGACGAAGAGGACGCCATCGTAGGCGGTCATGTTGGCATCAGAGAAGATGGCAGCATCTCTATGTGTAAGTGAGTGGTGGGTGGGGGAGGTATGAGTGACGCGCGTGACGGGTACGCGTGGTGGATTGCTACGTACTCGGAGAAGTCAAACATGAGGTTGTACTCGGGGCCATACTTGCGGAGCTGGTCGATGGCGACTGGGATCGAGTCGTGACGGAATCCTTCGGTCTTTGTGAAGACGAGGACGCGAGGGGAGACGGGGGCCGATGCGGGGTTTGGCTTGGCGAGTGCGAAGGACGCGAGGGCCGCGGTGAAGAGGGCACCGAGGGCGAACATGGTGCGGCGGGAGGGAGGAGGAGGAGGAGGAGTTGGGTTGAGTTGAGTTGCGTGCGTTATGAGCTCGGGTCGAAGGGTGGGATGAAAGTAAAGTGAACAGATGAACTGAACAGGAGAGGAGAGAAACCAAGAGAAGAGGAGGAGGAGGAGGTCGGAGTACAGAGTACAGAGTAGTTAATAAGTAGAGAGGGACTGAAGATGAAGAGAATGAGGTTTGAGCCGAGCGACGCGTCTCAACCAGATGATGAGGGGAGGAGGAGAAGAGGAAGAGAACGACGACAAGAGCAAGAAGAGAGCAACAAGCAAGACAGCAACGATGAGGAGCAAGAAGAGTCATGCACCAAAGGAGGGGGGAGAAGGGGGGGGGGGGGGGGGGGGGGGGGGGGGGGGGGGGGGGGGGGGGGGGGGGGAGCCGAACGCAAGGAAGGACTGTGGGATGGAATATGATTAGGGGTCTTGGCTCTAGACCAGGACAGGGGGGAACGACAGAGCCGATACACAGGCACGTGAGGCATTCCTCTGGCCAACTCTCCCTCTGTTTGCAAGGTTTGGTATTTGACACCCAGCGACGGCCCAGCAACGCCAGACAACCTTGGTGTACAGGTACACGGCCGAGAGATGCATGTCGTCGGGAGGGTAGACGGTAACGGTACCAACAGGAGGAGGCAAAGGCACAGGGGCACGCAGCGGTGGGCGTTGCGGATCACGACCACACAATCAACAAGCCCTGCTGCCCTGGCAGGAACGACCGGGAACGGCTCCCTGAGCCGGCATGTCCCTATCTGGGGCCCTGGACGGATGCAACACGTCCAAGGCAAGTCGCGTGCCGAGTTTAGACGCCCCGCGCCTCGGCGCCTCCTTTCGGCGTCTCAGCTCTCAAGCCTCAGGGCCCCGGGCTTTCTCCGGCGCTCCGTCAAACCTCGAGCGCTCCTCCTTTCCCCGAAAGAAGCTTACTCCCTCCCGTTTCCCCCTATTTCAGTCTCGATGAAACAACCACGATGGGCGTGTTTGGTTTGGTCTTCTCCTTCTCTTTCTCCTTTGACTGATCGCCGGATCGTCTCTCATCATCCGCGCTATACGGATCCGCGCCGTCGCGTATCGTGTTCCATCGTCCATCCGGCCCGACAACTCTTGCCAAGGCCAACCGCAAGTTCTGTGCACCTCTGCATAATCCTCTCGATCCCCCCCCCCCCCCCCCTAGATCCTCAGCTCGCACGCGGTCAGACCTGCAGGTCATGAGGCCATCAGGCGCCACGGGCGCCAATTTTCCCACCACCAGATCAAGCGCGTTCAAGCGCGATCAAGCGGCGCCGCGATTTCTGCTTGTGTACATAAACTGCATACTCTTGGGAACATCGTCTAAACGGAGAAGCTGCGAAACTGCGTATAGCATGCCCAAGTCATGTGCCGTGCTGGGATGCGGTGACAAACCAAGGCCGTGCTTTGGTCGTGCGCAGCTGACGCAGCCTCGTCGTCGGTCAGGTGTGATCGGTGGGATCGGTGCCTGCGAGCTCGACGTCTCAGACCCCTCGGTGCGTTCTCGGTTCTTGCTTTCTGGTCTCTCTTTGCTCTCTCTGTTGTCCACCTGCTCTTCTATTTTCTCTCTCTGCTGTCCGTCTGTCACTGTGTCTCGGTTTCCGGTTTCCAATATTATCTCATTCCCTCTCCCGCTCTTACTCTCCCACACCCCTCCCTCTGTCCCACTCCCCGTTCTCACTCTCCCACTCGCCACAAGTCAGCTGCCCACTCCTTCCCACGCCACTGGTACCGAGCACTGCACCGTATCCTTCCCACGCATAACGTACACCCCGTGAATCCCCTCACCAATCCGCGCCATCCCAATCCATATCCGCATCAACAAAGACGTTGACGCGCCTGCTTTCTCGGCTCCGCGCCGAACATCCCGCCCCCGTTCCTCGTGTAGTACGACACCGCGGTCAAGTGAGGTGGTAAGTTCCGGCTGCGTGACGCAGGCACTCTATCGTTCGGTCGGCAACGAGGCACGGTGTGGGGAGGGTGTCTGAGGGAGGGGGTGAGGGGCGGAAAGGAGCGCGGTGGGCGCGGGCATACCTCGGTGCTCGTGGGAGCCGCCAAGCAGCCAAGACCGCGTTGTCAGCGATACGGCGTCAGCGGGGTCTTGGGCGGCGTGAGTTTGAGGCACGTACCACAACACGCTTGTTGTCGACATACGTTTTATTGGCCACTGGCGGGCGTAATGTAAACAACGCGTCGAGCAGGTACAGCGTGAAGAGAAGTGGGGGAGTTGGGTTCGCGGTCCAAGTTAGGCCCCATTTGCAGTACCTTTTGGGCGTCGGTCAGCACCGTTAGTCGGGGGAGTAGTCTTCATTTCAAGGGACGAGCCCATGTCGTGGTGCAGCGTGACGAGCAAACAACGTAAGTTACACCCAGAAACATGATGAAACGAAATCAGACGCGTTCCCCTCATGAAGACGCGTCTCCCCGTAGTTTCATTCCACCGAGTTGCCGCGGCTGTGCGGTGCGCGGCGTCAACAACATCGGAACGCGGAGCCGTGGTATCCAAATGCCACGTCTACGTCATGCTTGTTCATCCACCGACATTGTCCACGCGTGCTGGAACTCTGTACCGTCAGAAGCGCAGTCGCCTGAATGGCTTATGGCCACAAGTCTGATGTAGAGGAATGAGCCGAGGACTGCGCAATGTCACGTGTTTCGGCGAGAGCTGTCCTTTTCGGTGAGTCGGCGTGTTGCTTGTTAGCGCCAGTGCGAGCTTGACGATCTCGCCGGTGTCAGTACAAGCGGAATGAGCTCTGGCGATACGCTGAACTTGCCCAGAGCCGGGGAGAGACGAGACGCCAACCTCCTCAGACTCGCAGCGCCCATGCCTCGTTCTACCCGTGACAGGAGGAAGTGGACGGAGCGTCATGGAATGCTCTGAGCGCGCTCCCATCGTATAGGAATCGATCGCTGTATCTTGTGATCAGCCGTTTTATCCGCCATTTCATCGCCTCAGATAATCTAATAAGCTAATAAGCCAGTAATGTGGCATCTCATACGTAATTAATGCATGCCAGCTCGTTGCGCTGAGGCGCCAAAGGTCTAAGGGCAGGCGCGCTCAGAATCTGCTGGATTGCGGCTGAGGTTTGCGGGGTAATGGCAAAGATGAGGCGTCGACAACTAGAGTGACCTCGACAACTCGACAACTTCGGTGTGGTTTCCGCCAATTAGGCAGGTGTACAGTACCGCAACCGCGTGCGCAATAAGCTGTCATTGGCATAGGCCGAAAGTGCTCAGAAGCTCCCACTTCAGCTTCAGCGAGCAAGATCATGATCAGGACGGATTTGCTCTCTCCTAATCACGCTGTGCATCAAATTTCGCCCAATGGCACGGCCTCCCATCGCTTGATCGAACCTCGGCTGTGATCAAGATCAATCACGTGACTGATTTGATCCCCATCGACATCTGCGAATTGACGTACCGCTTCCCGCGTGCGCAGCGTGAGCCCCCCTTCCTGGGTGGGGAAAGTGCCAGGCACAACCGGTGGATCAGATCAATCGATGCAGACGAGCCACGGCGCAAAACACCCGTCACCCCGCCACCGTCGCCCCGCTCGCCCTCTCGCCACCGCCTCGGAGGATATTTAAACACCGCCTCCCGTCTATTCCCCCTCATCATCATAATCACCACTCCACTCCACCACTCTCTCCGCTTCGGCACCCCACCCCACCACACCAACCAACTACTACAATGTCCGGACGCGGAAAGGGCGGCAAGGGCCTCGGCAAGGGCGGCGCCAAGCGCCACCGTAAGGTGCTGCGCGACAACATCCAGTGCGTTTGTGCATACGAGACAAGCTCACACACAGGGGTATTACCAAGCCCGCCATCCGCCGTCTCGCGCGCCGTGGCGGTGTCAAGCGTATCTCGGGCCTCATTTACGAGGAGACGCGCGGCGTCCTCAAGATCTTCCTCGAGAACGTCATCCGCGACTCGGTCACGTACACCGAGCACGCGAAGCGCAAGACTGTCACCTCGCTCGACGTTGTGTACGCCCTCAAGCGCCAGGGCCGTACCCTCTACGGCTTCGGCGCGTAAGCGACGCCAGCAGCAGCTGGCAAGCTGGTACAGCACAGCACTTTCGATACGCTGTCGAGCGACAGCGGCTTTGGGGGAGTCGGCAGGAGCTTCGTTTTAGATATTCCTTTGTAGCGCGTGTTGGGCCGATGCAACGCCGCTTATGTCTGTATATCCGTGGTAGGCGTTGCTGGTGCATGTGCACCCTCCGTTGCCTGCGAAGTGTGAACCCCGCCAGGCGCTCGCGATGTTTTACCGCTTCTGCCATGCCCTCCATCGTCTCCTATGCTCCCAAGTCATCATCTCGTCCCCGGGCACCCACCGCAGCAAACGGATGAGAGGAGCGGGGATGGTGAATGCATTCAAAACTCCAGGAGCGGTGCGAGCGCCGTTGCAGCAGGTCTCTGAAGTGCATGCTGACGATGGCGAAGGGGCGGGTGGATTCGCCACCGGCCGTCGCCGCGGTGCTCACAGTCGTATGTGACGTGGACGACATGGCCTGTTTGGTACATGAATGCCACCGTGCCTGGCTATGGTCACCAGGAAGAAATCCATGATTTCCTATTTCTGCGTTGAAATGACTGACAGCTGTCAGATGGCAGATGGCAGAAGGCAGAAGGCAGAAGGCAGAAGGCAGCTGCAGGTAAGGTAAACGGCACAAGGCAGCTGCAAGTAAGGTAAACGGCACAAGGCAGGCAAGCCGGAATTGAATGGACCATCGGGCATGTGGGCATTCTCATGCTCGCACTCACCGCCCTCCCTATCTTACACCTCGTGCTCTTTCGCCCTCCCGACCAGCTGCCACTTCAACTGTCTGCAGCCATGGCGACTGACGTCCACATCCTTCGCGTCCCTCCTGACCGGGCCAGGATTCGCCGCGCCAGGACTTGACCCTCCAAATGCAAATGCAATTGTGCAACCATACAATATGATACAGTGAATCGACAGCCGACATCTACTCGTCCTCATCCTCCTCCTCTTCGGCGGCCGGAAAGAACGCCTCTGTGCAAATGGCACGGAACGCACGCGCGGCCTCGCGCGCTTCGTAATCCAGCCCCTCGGTAAGCGTGTGAGCGCCCGCATACGGGCGCAGCATCACTACCGGCCCAGAGGGAGCCGGGTCAGACACGGCGCCTTCCGCGGCGCCTTCTTCCCCGCTCTCCTTCGTCTCCTGCGACTCCGGCTCCGGGTGATGCTGGAGATACGCGGCGACGAAAGCCACATCTGCCGCGATGCGGGCCAAGTACGGCTCGAGAAGCGCCTTCGGATCCGCCGACGCGTCGGCGTCCGCGGAGAGGTACACGACCCACTGGCCGCGGGGGCACGAGCCCGTGCCCTCGCCCATGACGAGGGCGCGCACGAGCGGCCCCTCGTCCGGCGGGAATACGAGCACGGCCGTGTCGTCGTCCAGCTCCTCCTCCGGCTGTCCAAGCACAGGCGGCAGCGAAGTTACGATCGCGATGAGGTGTGCGCTCGTGCGCACCACCGCCGGGGCCTCGAGGAAGCCGGGCGGCGCGAGCAAGTGCTTCGCTGTGATGGGGGACGGGTGCGCGCCAATGCGGAGCGTCACTTCCTCCCCGATTTCGATGGACGGCGCGCCCTCGGGTCCGAGAATGTATGTCCCGCCGAAGACTGCGCACGCGCTGGCGTCAGCGTCATGCGGTGGCGAATGCGACTTACCGGCAAAAGCCTTGCGCGACCTCGCCGGCGCCGCCGTATTGTCCCACGAGGAATGGGCTGGGCCCGTACCGCCCCATGGAGCGGAGGTATCGCCTCGCCCTCCGCAGCGAGGGGAGCGTGGGCTCGGTCTCGCCCGCGAAGGCGAGGGCGTAGGCCAGGGCCTGTGCCAATTTATCACTCAATCCAAACGCGCTTTTGAGGAAGGTGAGGAACGGCTCCGCCTCCCTGCCAGAGAGGAGAGGGTCAGCTTCAAACTCGCCACCAGCAAACATGAGTGCTTTCATGAGCTTGCGCTTCTCGGGCAGGGATATGCTCTTGTCTTTGAACACGTCTTCTTTGGAGCCCGGCACGCGCTGGAAGCCAGAGGGCGACGAGGAGATGTGCACCCCGTTTAACAATTTGAACTCGACGTACTTGGACACGTCAGAGGAGATGAGCGTGTCAATGAGAGTGCCGCGCGATGGCATAAGGCTCGGGAAGAGGGAGAGCGCATATCGCCTCCTGTCTGCTTGAAGGGTAGGGGAGAGTGGTGTGGTTGACGCTGAGGAGTAGGCGACGCGCTGCGACGCGGCATACGTTGAGATCGAGGTGGCGGGGGCAGAGGAGGATGAGCGCTCAGTCGCCCAAGCCTCTAGCTCGTCAAGCGTGAGGCTCGCCTGCTCCCCACCGTAGTACTCGTTGGGGTCGAGATGGAGCACAGACTTGCCAGCCTTTGCAAGAGCACTGCATTGACAATTGCGTGTGTGTGTGGGAGTGAATGATGCGGGCGAGTTTGCGGGCGGGGATTGATATGATAATGGTGGACGGGTGAGATGAACGGAGGGAGAGATTACGATGGCGCGTGAGCACTCAAGCCGGTCGAGTTGCACTGCACCCGGGGTGCATGACGCCAACTCACGCCGCGGCAATGCTTTGAGCGAGGCCGGTGCCCAAGACAACAACGTCGAACTTGTCTGAGTCGAGGGAGGGGTTCATTGCGCGCCTGGAGGAGCTATGAAGCTCGGGATGGAGATGGGAGGGAGATGATGAAATGGGAGTCCCGAGTCGGGTGGATCGGATCGAGGAATGCCATGTGTCTTGATTAAACCTAATTAATCCCCTCATTTAGATGGCTGAGTCGAACTGAGCAGCGGGGTGTGGCGAGCTGCGTGGAGGGGGGCGGTTAGGGCGGCCCAATTCGCCATCCGACTGACTCCTCGGAGGCTTCCGACTCCTCTCTCTCCTCCCAGCTCCCTTCATCACGACTTCTTGTTGACTCGACTCGCCACATCACTATATAGGTCTCAAGGTCTTCATCGCCCACCGTCCACACCAGCGCAACCATGGCCACCTCTCTCGCAGTCCCAGTCGCGTACTTTACCGTACTCATCTCACTCTTCGTCGTCTTCTCGCGATGGTATCGCCGCAAGCAGGCTGGTAGGTCACCTTTCCCTCTGCCTCTCAACACAAAACGAGATTACGAGGTTTACTTGAAACATGGCTTACATGCAGCGCAGAAGCGGTCGTATGAGTCATGGTTTCCCCCGCATCCTGCCCGCGACATCTATACCACGTTGGTGGCCGCGCAGCCGCCCGTGCCAGAGAGCATGCTCAAAAGTGCTCTGCTCGCCCGCGCCGCGGCCGACGTGAAGCGAATCTGGCGCGTCAAGGAGGACAAGGCCGCGCTGGAGAATCTTCATCAGCGCGGTCTTATTGGCGACGACACCATGGCCCGATTCGACTTCGCCGAGAAGGAGCTCGAGGCCGAGATCGTTGATGTCGTCGCCGAGGCGAACACCTTCCGACCCGGATGGGGTGGTATCATCTTCGCGACTGCCACCGAGATGGCCAAGGCAGAGGACACCCGGGAGACCGTTCTCAATGTCGGCCGTGTCAAGGCTGAGCTGGGTGAGTGCATCTCAAAGGACGGCCTAGGATGGCACGAGACGTGGAGTATGGGTGGTCAGCGGGGTGAACAATACCGACTGTGATGGCGGATCCGGGTGCATGGTACCAATGGTCCCAGCGTCACCGCTGTTATTCCCCGCTGCCGATCGAGAGAGCAGTCCCACTAGTTCCGCGAACCAAGCTAATAATCAGAAAAGCGACTGCAAGTGCGCGCCAGGCTCCTCGGCCTCCCGGTCCAGATGGCGACAATCTCGGACTCAACCTCCACCCCAACCCTTCCCCCCAACATGACCCAGGCGCTGCAGGCCGCGGAGGCCGCCCAGGCCGCCGGCAAGCTCGTGCCTCCCGCCGTCGCAGCCATGCTCAAGTCGATGAAGGCTGGCAACACGGCCGAGGCCGCCGCCGCCTCGGTCGCCGCCGCTGCCGCCGCCACGACCGCCGGACCCCAGTCACCCCCCGACACCGCTCCCCCCTCATACACGGCCGCCGCTGCCGGCGCCGGCCCCACGAAGCGCAAGACCAAGAAGAAGTAGCACTGTAGCATACCCCTCATCGATTCCATGCACCATGTAACCTCCTGCATCTCTGATGACTGCGGCACGCAAATTGATGGCACGCATGGACGCGGACGCGGCGGGCAGATGAGCCACGCGGACCGGCCGGAACAATTCCGACGATCCGACTCAGCTAGGCGTCTAACGGTGGCGCCTCTGACGCAAGTCGGTGTTTTCGTTGCGCCATGCAGCATCGCAGATCTGATCGCAGATCGCGATCGACACGCTTTGTCGCAATCGCTGCACCGCGCCATCGCCATTGACATCGCCATCGCCGTACCGCCATGCATCGCCATCGCTCTCGTCACTGACTCACGCGGGATGCAGCTACGGCCGGCACTGACCCTCACCACATTCGCACCGCTCGCACCCCTCACCTGCCCACGCGGTGTCGCGCCACCCTCCCCTCCGATCGCCGTCACCGCAAATCGTTAGTCTCAATCGGGGAGCTACGCACAAGCTGCATGACTCGGCATGCATGTCCACCTGGCCCGGTTCAGAGGGTAAGTCTGTACATGCACGCTATGGACGCTGCGCTGCGTTGCTCCCAGTCTCACTCTGACTCAGACGCGTGCCAGCTTCAAGAAATTGCCGGACACAACGGCGACTTGGCAGCTGGCTTGAGTGCGGGGCCTAAATCCCGGATCCGACAATGCCGACAGAAACACATTTGGGCGCCTGGAGTCATGAAGTCGATGTGTACACAGCATCTACTCTCAGTACCCCAGTTCTGTAAGCTTATTAGGTGGGAACCAAGCGTTGTAGGACTGTGCAAAATTGGCGCGGCTCCGGCTGGCTACTTTAGTTGGCACGGCTGGTGGGGAACACGGCTTCAGACACCTATGCAGCCATGCTGTGCGGAACCACCACAGCCGAGACATAGACTCATCGCTTCAAGTACAAACAGTTACCCTCCTCCGACCATACCGTATCTACACCCAGCCGGGGGTATGAAACCGACTGACGGCACCATCTTCGTCCCATGCCTATGGCTACACAGGTCGGGTCGAGAGGCGGCAGAGGAACGACAAGAAAACGGTATACGTCGGATGCTGCGGGGAATGGAATAGGCGGCTTGCAATGCAATCCAACTAACGCATGACGATACCCTTCTCGACGTTTGCCTTGTTGGGACGCTTGTCGAGGTGGTCCAAGCCGAGCGCGTCATCAGGAGCCCACTTGTGATCGAATAACACATCGTCTGGCGTCAGGTCGAGACGCTTGCGGAAGTCATCACCATACTCACTCTCTTCGACCACCGAGGGCTGCTTGTACACCTGCGACTGCACAAGCGAAAACTTGTACTTTGCAAACTCCTTGTCTGACACCCCGATGCGTTCCTGTATCCGCTTTTTCGTCTCTGAGAACGGCTCGCCTTCGCGGATCACGAAGCGGCACGGGACGCCGTGCGTCTTGCTGGGGTCCCTCGAGTAATGGAAGAGGTGCACGATCTTCGTGTTGTCGCCAGCGCTGAGCTCTTCCATAGGAATCTCCTCGGCGTACAGCTCGGTAGGCTCTGGCAGGTTGCCAATCATCTCGCTTCCAGCGTAGTCTCGCTGTGCGCGCCCGTTGCTCGAGATGTCAAAGACACGGATTTTACCTGACCCTCCAGGCTGCGGCTGAATGGTGCGCAGCAACTGTTCCACGACATGGTCGAACGTATTGGTCTTGGGCAACAAGAATGTCGGAGCCGCCTCCTCCTTGTTGTATCGTCCCATCCAGTACAGCTTGAGCGACTTCTTCGTCTCGAGCTCGATGATCGAAATGTCAAGAAGTTCGTAGTAGAGCACGACATTGGGCTGCGGGCTGTAATAATTGGTCTGGGTTATGTCGGCAACGCTCTGGTTCAGCGAGCGTTTTACAATGGCCTTGGGCTGGCCATTCGTGGGATTGGACGACGTGAATCGCAGCTTGAGGGGGTCGTGCTTGAGGAAATCGCCAACACGCTGCGCCATGACCTCGTACGTCATCTTCTTGCTCAGGACGATCTCAAAGTCGGGCGGATTTCCTGGAGCATCTTCGAAACGAGGATGGAACTGAACGCGCACGCGGTTCTGCAAGAAGTCGTAGAACTGGGGAACACTCGAGTACAGCGATTGCGCCTCGAGATCGTCAATCTCCTTTTGCGTCTTCTCAACCTGGAAGGTGATCACGTCGCCGTCTTGAATCTCGTTCTGCAGGAACGTCTTGTTGACCTTCATCGATTCAATCATGCCGGCTTTAATCTCCTCGTAGAGCTTGATCGGCGTCGATGACGGCCAGCCCATTCTCTCCTGGATAATGTTGTAGAGCACCGATACCTTGTCGTTCTTGTCGACGAAGACCTTGCCCTGACCGAACAGCGACTGCTTAGAGCAGTCAAACCACTTGAGGAAAATCATGATGGGCGGGTTGTGCGGGTTCGCGTGCTGCGCCGCGAATCTGGCTTGGTCTGGGTTGTAGTCCAGGTACAACCGGAGGTCGATGGCCCGTGCCGCCATGTTGTTGCGGATAAAGTCCATCGCTGGCATCAGCTGCAGCACCAGTGGCACCCAACAACCAATACTTACTCTGTTGGTGGTCGCTCTCCTGAATGGGCACGTCAGGACGAATTGTCTTGTTCTGGCGGTTCACCAAGACCCAGAGGCGGAAGTCACGCTCAGAAATCTTGAAGTATGTGGCAATCCGCTGCTTAAACTTGGCGTAGGTCTCCTCCCTCAGAATACGGAATGTTGGAAGCTCGGTGGGACCCATGTTCTTATCGTCGAACGAAGCCAGGTCAAAGCCTTGGTGCTTGGCGAAAGCGTCATCCGTAATGATCTTGGCCGTCAGATAAAGGTGCTGCTCGTCCTTCTCTCGCTTCTTGGCCTCCATCTGCTCGCGCTCCGCGTCCAATCGCTCCTTGAGATGACGAGGAGTGTCGTTCTCGGTGAAGGGGGCGAGCACTGTGCTGAGTTCCGTCTCGCGAATGTAAACAAGCATGTAGGCGTTGGTAAACTTCTTCAGCGTACGAGCCTGCGTGCGCTGGTGCGCGGGCATCACACCGTTGACGAGGTCGCCGCCAAAGTTGTCCTCAAGCACCTCCTTATCCGTAACAGGAGTGACGCGGTCGTCATCAAACTTGAACCACCGCCCATCAGCCTCGGGCTTGATGAGTGCGAAGTAGTGTCCGCCGTGCAAATCTCCGGAATGCACAAGCACGCCGTGGAGCTTGTACACGTGCGAGACGGAGTGGTCGGCCGACTCGTCGAGGAACTCGGCGAGGTCAATCTCAAGAGGGAACTCGTGGCGGTCATTGATCTTCACCAACGCATCCTTGTCCACATCATACTCGAACCGGCGGAGCTGGAGGTGAAGCACGGGAGGGAAGGCTTTGAAAATGACACCCTTCTTGGCGTCCTGCAGACCATAGCCCTCGGCCATGTACTTGTTGTCGCCGTCAAGAGTCTCAACCGAAACATAGTCCTTGAAAGAATCGCGCAGGTTCTTGATACCCTTGATTGTGAGCTGGACGTCTGTATGTCAGCTGGATGTTCCATTGTTGTCGCCACTCACCGTAGAAATCTTCCGTGACACTTGACTCGTAGTCCACGTTCATGCACTTGATATAGTTCTTCATCTGGCCCTTGAAGAGTTGAGGAATAGCGCCCTCGGCTGGAGTGCCCTTCATTTTCTCCTCCAACTTGTCCTGGAGAATGCGGCTGAACTCTTGCACGTCATGCTGCATGAAAGAATCGAGCGACTTCCAGCCAAACGACTTGGTGAGCTCGGTTGTGCTGACCGCCTGGTTTGACGTCTGCAAGTGGTAGAATACACGCTGGAGCGCAAGCGATAAGCTTTCAGATGGAATGTCGTTGTCTGTGGGTATCTGGTAGACGGCTTTGCGGAAGTAGTTGGTGCAGTACAGCGACTGGAGGAGAGAGTTCATGTAGCAAGTCGCGCCTTGGTTTCGCAGTCCGACGTGGCCAGTCTCCTTCTTGGAGTCATAGCTGCATGTCGTCAGCACCCACGTAAATCGAGACCGGAGGACCAGTGTGGCACTCACTTGACAAAGTTGTGCCAGAGCACGCCTGTTGGGTCCTTGAGTACGCGCACAAAGGCAGTGATCTCAACCTCGTCGTTCTCAATGATAGGACGGGTGCGGCCAGTGGCAGGGTCAGGGCTGTACAGCTTGCGCAGCTCGGCAAACCTCGTAAAGCCCCAGTCACACTCCTCGGCGACGAAGCGATGATGGGCGTCTGCTTCGGTTAGCGTTCGTCGTCGCGGGCGCGGGTCGCAACGCACGGCTAGAGATGTGAAGGGTTGGGTGGTTTACATTCGAAATGGCGAGACAGAACTGCGCGCATGCGTGCCAACCTTCGGGCGCGCCTTTGGGATTGGCGTACTCGAGGTAGACGGAAACCATGTCATTCGGCTGGCCGTTGGCATTGCCCTGTGGAAACAGGAGGATCCGCCTGCGCGTCAGTTGTTGCGGAGCCACCTGCGCACGAGCGCAACGTACCACTTGTGCCCGCCGCATGAGAACTCTGGCCCCTGTTTGCGCCGATCCTGTTGGCTCCACTTGTCGAGCCGCCACGTCTGGGACTGGAAGTCCTCGATCTCGAGGCCGAGATCCGGCATGGCCTTGGCAGCGAACGCCTCGGCTGAGATGGGTCAGCATGATGGGATCGGGGGATGGAATGAGAGGGATGGCGAACAACAACGTACCATCGCGGACATTGGGCAACTCCTCGACCTCCATTGGTGCTGGGCTCTCGTCGATGATGATGTCCGTCACTTCGTTGCCGGGACTGTTTTCAAGCTGCTGTGTCAAGTATCAGCGGCTACTGCGAGAGGGGGGGGGGGGGGGGGGGGGGGGGGGGGGGGGCGTGCGCATTTGCCAAGGTCTGGCCACTGATGGCGGCAGACGGAAGGGTCTGACTTACCATGCTGAGTCACTCCCTTTTGGGTACTGCGAGGATGGGGTGGGAGGGGAAAGGGGAAGGGTGGGGAGTAGACGCCAGCCAGTCAACCAGATCGCGGTTGTTGGGAGATGCAACCAGGTGACGGGCCTCGGATGAAGACTCAGGCGGGGTCTGTGGAGAAGCTGTGCGTGCGTGCGGGGGAGTTGATGGCAAGGATTGCACGGCGGGGTGGAATGGAGAACGGCGAGAGTGGTGGAGGGGTAGGACAATGCTCAGAGAGGGAGAGGGTGAGAGAGCGGGGAGCGATGAACGGGTTGGGATGGATGAGAGTGTGAGAGAGAGAGGGGACGATGGAGGAGGGAGAGATAGTGAGTGACGACAAGAGGCTGATGGGTGATCTGGAGCTCTTGGAGAGCGATGGTTGGGATTCAGCGTAATACCGTGGCGTGGAGCGTAGTGCACAGTGAGACTGGGATACTGCGAGGAAGGTGTGACTATGTCAAGGTGAAATGAGATAGGAATGTCATTAGAACCCGGCTAATGAGCTAATGAGTCATGGTCAATCTCTATAGTAGGCCTGCAAGTACGCGTCGTCTCCTGCTCACTACTAATAATAATCCGCGCTGGGTGGCGCGTGGCTTGTCACCCACCGTACAGCCGTGGGCGGCCTACGCTGACGCACACCTCACACACCACCGCACCAACCGGCACTATGCGGCAATATACCCCCGTGGCACTCCCCACCTCCACCCAAATTTCCCGCCATAAAAACAACCTCTACGCCCATCCTCCTGTTGCTGCTCTTCATCACCTTCACCCCCCCCCATCTCCGTCTCAGAGGCATGCACGCTTACATCTAGCTCCAGTTTCTCTTCCCTCCCCCTCCCCCTCCCCCTCCAACCAACCCGCGGTTCTTAGATCCGTTTCCAGGAGGGCGCTAACCCCGGCCGCTTCGCGCGTTGGCACTCTCACGAGCCGCCGCGCGCGGAGACGGGCTCACCGGGGTGCCCTCCGCCAGCCTCTGCTGGCGATTGGTCTCGCATGAGTCAACCCGTGGAAGAGTGCTGCCCAGGCTTCTTGCCGTGACCCGTCTTGGGTTGTGGCACGCCGTCGTGTCCACCGTTTTGGGGGGCGCAGGGTGTGCTCGGCATCTCGGAGCGCGTGCAGGTGTGCGCGCATCTGATCTCGAGCAGACATTCGTCTCGTCTCCCTGCTATCACAGTGAGTGTCCATCCAGATCCATCATCTATGATGAAAAACAAAGCTCTAATCGTATTCACACTGTGCTATTCTCCTCGGAGATGCGCGTACCACTTCAACGGTATCTGAACCCAATTCCTCTCCACGATCTTCTTGAACGATCGCTGACGTACAGATGCATCTTGATTCCATTAATATCTCAACGATCGTTCAGCGTCGCGATGAAGAGGGCGAAGGGGATTGTTCACTAACATATCGCGTAGCTTTTACTACCACGCGTCGTCAGCAGTCTCTTCTACTCATCCACACCCTTCCCCACCACTGAAGACCGCTAGCCGGGCTACCACGGCCAGTGGTTTCAATGTGTGAGGGATAAACCATCGCTTTCGGGCGTCACGTCCCATGGATTTCGGCGCGGGTCTTGGCTCTGCCCGTGGTTCGTGTCGATTGAAGGGGCGGGGACACTGTACTAGATAGGGTCCAATGCATCATTGCTACACGTAACTGTCGCTGTGGTTGCGTCTGTCATCTGCGTCTCTCGTCTCCAATCATCTGCACAAGCATCGACATCTCCCATCTCCCTGCTCCCCCCAGCCTCATCATCGCGCCATCGGAGGCTCTCGGATCTCGTTCTCTCGCGCCGTGTCGGCCGCGCCGACATCATGTCGAGCTCACAAAGTTCCGTACACAATCAGACGGATGATCTCAACGACCGCTGCAATTAGCCGCCGTTTTCTCAGCCACAACCACAGCCAACTCACTTCCGCCGACAGCGAGGAACAGCATGGCGCCAATGACCCACTTGGCCGCCCCCCGCCTCTGGAGCGACTTGCTTGGCCTCGTGGTCCGCTTGCCCGCCGCCGCGCGTGCGGCAAAGTTGGCGTTCTTGCGCTTAATGTCGGCAGCAGTTGGCTGGTGTGAGCTTGTCCGAGGCTTTGGGGCGGAACACGCCACGCGGCGCCACTGGGATCCTAGGAGCAGCAACGCACCATTCTGGCCTCGTGAAAAGTAAGGAGCGTGTGAGTGTAGGTGAGTTAAGAATGGCGATTGTTCGCGTTCATGACGCAGATGGTGACCGCGGTGACAGATGCCAACGCATCGACGCGATTTGCTTCCGTTACCGAACAAGACAGGTGGAGGCCGACCACCGGCCACCGACCACCGGTCGATCGGTCGAATAGATTCAGTCACGTTCCGATGGATCATCGTCAGCGGAGAGCGCAGAGCTGGATATCGACGTGGATACGGAGCTTGGATGTACGTGTGCAGGCCAACCCCGAGGAGGTTGAAGCTAGCCCGACATTGCCCACATCGCTTCACGTTGCTTGGTGTTCAGGACGACTGGACGTCGTGACGTGTTCCACTCTCCCCGTGTTGTCTCGTCGTGCCCCCGTACACCCGCCCCCAGCTAAAAGAAGAAGAGTGAGTGGGAGAATGTAGGTGGTTATACCTGGGCAGGTGGCAGCCGCAGTAAAATCAATATATTAGTCGTCGCTAAGGACAGTCAGGAGCAGAAAGGCCAGATGTTGTGAGCGGTGCTTGGCACGCCCACTCCCCCGGCCCCGGTGGCGTTGGAACATGTACTCATCCCTTACCCCACACCCGACTGCCCAGCGGCCCCACAAACGCTCATGCATTCCTGCTACACTCACCACAACTCCATCGAGTTCATTATCCCTGCTATCGCGCACGGCGCCGGATGTAGCGAGCCTGCGGCTGGCAGGTAACCGGGTGGCGATTACGCTCGCGCGTTCCAGACCCATTCAATCGGTGCCCGTTTAGAAGTTTCCAGTTACGCTACACCGACGCTGCGCCGTTCCCAGCCACCAGGTTCAACGCGGGATACACCCACAGACCTGCTCAGGACAGAGAAGTGAGCCTGGAGCCTGCAGAGCGGGAGCGCGGATGATTGCCGAAACCCGGTACCGGCTACGAGATTGCTCCGGCTTAACGACAGTCGGCGCTAGCCGCCAGCATATGGATCCAGCGGCCCACCCGCCATCCATAACCAGCCGCGGCATCCCTCTTGCTCTCTCGACACTACTCACCATGGCGAAGAAGCAGCTCACATACGCCGAGTGCGACGCGCTCATCACGGCCCCCGGGTCCGAGTTCGAGATGATCACCATCCTCGAGAACGGGCACCAGCAGCGTGTGTGGAAGAATGCGCCGCCCGACTTTCGCAACTTTTTCGAGGGCGTGATGCAGAAGTGGGCGGACCGCGTGCTCGTCAACGAGCCTGTGCCCGAGCCCGCCGAGTACGACGCCCGGCAGGACGTGACCTACGGCCAGGCGCTCAAGAACGCGTACGACCTCGCAGCTTGGCTGCGCCAGCAGGGCGTTGGACGTGCGGACCGCGTCGCCATCGGCGGCCTCAACAGCTCGTACTGGCTCACGGCGTTTGTGGCTATCAACCTCCTCGGCGGCGTGCCGGTGTGCCTCAACTCGACTCTGTGAGTGACAGGAGAAGTTTCGTGGCACTGACATCAGCGTCCAGGATGCGCAGATCCACTGCCTCGGGCTCACCAAGCCCAAGGTCGTGCTGGTGGACATGAAGGATGCCCAGATCCTCTCTCCCGTCCGCGACCAGCTCAAGGCCAAGGGTGTTGGTCCCCTCTACTCGTGGAACGACCTCAGCCACCTCCCTGCCCACCTTACCGCCGGCGTCACGTCGCTTGACTTTAGCAAGCTCAAGGTGGACCAGAAGGTCGTCGCGGATGTCAAGGCCAAGAAGGGCTGCGCCGTCAAGGGCGAGGACGACGCGCTCATCCTCTTCACGTCCGGCACGACCAGCCTGCCCAAGGGTGTGCTCATTACGCAGCGCCAGGGCATGCAGCACATACACACAGCATCTATCCGTGAGTGACAGCCGCTGGACTCACGCTGACAACAGCCGCGGCCCGCGCCGCCCTCCGTGCCGGCGCGCCCGTATCCATGGCGCTCGGCGCCCACGCCCCGCCTCCCGAGCAGCTCAACGTCCTCATGCCTGTCCCACTGTTCCACGTCACCGGCCTTCTGGCTGTGACGGTGCGCGTCTTCTTTGCGGGCTCCAAGCTCGTCTTCCAGCGCCGCTGGTCCGTCCCTGACGCCGTGAAGCTGTGCATCGACCAGAAGATCCACATGATCAGCGGTGTGCCCTCGATCGCGACCGCGATCCTGCAGTCCGGCCTGCTGCCGAAGGACTTCCAATTCGCGGCGCTGTCCTACGGCGGTGCGGCGCCCGCGAAGCGTCTGGCCGGAGACGTCCAGAAGCGTTTCCCCGCCGCCTTCATCAACCACGGGTGGGGCATGACGGAAGCTGCGGGCCTGCACATCGCCATCTCGGGCCAGGACTACATCGAGCGGCCGGACGCGGTGGGCGTCGCGATCCCCATCGGGGCGATGCGCATCGTCGACAAGAACAGGAAGGAGGTGCCGCCCAACACGCTCGGCGTGCTACACATCCGCGGCGGCAACGTCGCGAAGGGATACCTCGACAACCCGAAGGCCAACGCCGAGGCATACACCGACGACGGGTGGTTCGACACCGGCGACGTCGGCATCATCAACGACGAGGGCATTCTCTACCTCCGCGACCGCGCAAAAGACATGATCATCCGCGGCGGCGAGAACATCGCCTCGGCCGAGGTCGAGAACGGCGTCACGCAGGATCCGCGCATCGCCGAGGCCGCAGCCGTCCCCGTCCCTGACAACGTGTTGGGCGAGCTCGTCGCTGTCGGTGTGTCGCTGGCGCCTGGCGCCAGCGCCACGCCCGAGAGCATCATGGAGGCTGCAGAGAAACGCCTCCGATACCCCGCCCGGCCCGTGTTCGTCGTCGTGTGGGACGGCGACCTGCCGCACAACGCGAACGGCAAGCTCCTCAAGAACGAGATCAAGGAGATCGTCCAGCGCAAGTGGAAGGAGCAGGGCGGGAAGCGCGTGGGCCCCGCCAAGGCGCGGTTGTAAGGTAGCATTGAGGAATTCTGCAGTCATTTGTCCAATACTCATCGGTGATGACCGCTGACCACACGGTCGGGCTGAATGTTGTCATCATTGATCTACCCCGACCTCACTCTCCGCACCTCCACCTGCCACCTCTTAAATCGATGCTCACGACAGCACGAAACGCGCAGCGAAGACGATGCATAACTCCGCCTGCCCCGCAATTCACCTGGCAAAATCTCGGAAAGGATGTGTGGGAAAAAGAATGCGCAGTAGGAGACGTAGCTCCGCATGTCCCGCAGTTTGACCAGGTAATTCGGGAAATGATCAACAACCCCCATTGATATAGCGGCGGCCGATGCGGCCTCCACAATTCGCAGCACAACATAACATGACGCCGCGGTCCATGTCGTGACGATATATCTGGGTCTTGTCTTGCTTCTTCTTACCTCTGACGCTCATTTCTGACCTGCCTTACCCTACCTACCATGGCTCTTCCACCGCCCACCCGCCTCGGACGCTACCGCGTTCTCTCGCCTGCCTGCGGTCTCCGCGTGTCCCCCCTGCAGCTGGGATGCATGTCGCTTGGCAACAAGACCAAGCCCCTTGGGGCCATTTCTAAGGAACAGGCCTTCCAAATCCTAGACACGTACTATGACGGTGAGTATTCGTCTGGTGAGGAACCAGCAACCTGGGTAGTGGCGCTAGACGTAGCCTCTAACGCCTCAGCGGGCGGCAACTTCCTTGACACCGCCAATGCGTATCACGGAGGACAGAGCGAGGAGTGGATCGGCGAGTGGCTGGAGGGGCGCGGGTGCCGCGAAGACATAATCATCGCGACGAAGTATACCGCAAACACGGAGCACGGCATGATCGAACAACACCCGATCCAGGTGAACCGCGCCGGCAATTCAGCCAAGTCGATGAAGCTGGGCATTGACAACTCGCTCCGCCGCCTCCGCACAGACTACGTCGATGTCTTCTACGTCCACTGGTGGGACTGGACGACGCCGGTTCCGGAGGTAATGCACGCGCTGAACCGGCTCGTGGAGAGCGGCAAGGGTAAGTCTGCGATGACCAACCGCACGCCCGCCACTCACGCCAGTCCTTTACCTCGGGATCTCGGACACGCCGGCCTGGATCGTCTCCAAGGCAAACGAGTATGCGCGCGCGCACGGCCTCGCCCAGTTCGTCATCTACCAGGGCAGATGGAGCCCGGCTGCGCGGGACATCGAGCGCGACCTGGTCCCCATGGCGCGCTCCGAGGGTCTGGCGATCGCCGCGTGGGGCGCCTTGGGCCAGGGACGGTTCCAGCGGCGTGCTGACCGCGGGACGCGGGCTGACGGGCGCGGTGTCGCGGCGCTCGACGAGCGCGAAGCCGCTGTCTCGGACGCCCTTGAGAAAGTTGCCGACGACCTCGGCGTTGAGAACCTCACCTCTGTCGCGCTCGCGTACGTTATGGCAAAGTATCCGTGGGTATATCCCATTGTCGGGGGACGCAAGGTCGAACACCTCATTGCGAATATCGGCGCACTCGAGATCCACTTGACCGAGGAGCAGATCCAGCAGCTCGACGCCGCCCTGCCGTTCGAGTATGGCGAGCCTGGGGCATTCGTGAGTGTTGTGTGCAGTTCGCATGTTTAGCTGGAGGACACTGACGCTAGTTCGGACTCGACCCCCGCGTATGGGGATACCAGCAGAACTTCCACATCGAGTCTGCTGGCCTGGTCGACTTTGTCCCCCACGCCGCGCCTGTGGACATGACGAGCGTGCGCGAGTCGGACGCCGAGGCTAAAGCGAAGAACCCTGTCAAGCTGGGAATTTAGTATGGGCAAAGAGCCAAGTCAGAAGTTAAGTAAGCGACAACTCGAACCAAGTACGAAGAAGTTCGGAATGTATTGCGTAAAGTCGTCTTGACCAGTTCCCACATTTGATAGTCTATGCATGATGCTGGTCCACACTCGCCGCGAGCGCGTCCTTGCTGCCTCCTAAATTCCGTTGCTCACTGTCGTGGCTCGCTGGTGCCCAGCTTACGCCGGAGAAGGACCGCCGTCGCTCGCCGCAAGTCCTCAACCTCCTTCGGCTGCGCAGTGGCACAACCCGCCCAGCGCACCTTGGCGTTCTCATCAACAAGGAACACGTATCCGAGAATTTTGTTCTCCATCCCGAGCGGGCCGGTGATCTGCAGTCAGCGGCAGGATACTAGACCACCTGCCAACTATCCTACTCACATCGATGCTCGACCATTCTCCACTCGCAAAGATATATGTTCCCCACCGCTCCTTGGGGATCGTGCGCTTCAGCCCAGAGACGAAGAACGAAACAAGCATCGACTTGAGCGCGTTGTCCTGGTGGTTGATCGTGATGTAGTTGAACAGCGGCTGCCCCTCCCAGTCCTCCAGTACCGGCTGCACGAACGACTGCACGTGTTCCTCACTAATGCGCGTATTGAGGATGCTGACCAGCGACACCTTGCCGCGGAACAAGTCCGTCGTGTGCACCGTCTCGCCCGTCAGCGCCTTGCCCGAGATGTCGGGGAAGTAGTTCGCCATCTGGCATGAGCATCCCTCGCGCCTTGTAGCCGGCTGCACCGTTCTGCTTGCTCGGCAGCACTCACGTCTTCGCGGATGAGCACGGGCGGCCCAACCCACAACTTGCCCCCGTTGGCCTTGCGCGCAAGGTTGTAGTCGTGGAAATACCCCTGGCTGGCCTCTTTGATGAGCGCGCGCCGCTCCGCCCGCCGCCGCTCCTTGTCCATGAGCTGCTCTCGCCTGCGAGCCCACGTCACAGGATCTGTAGAGGGCGGGAAGGGGATGCCTGGCGGCCTCGAGAGCGGGGGGACAATGTACGCGCCGTCCTTGTCTTTTGGGGGCTCAAGAACGGCGTGCTCCTGCGCTGCTGGGGCGTCGGAGGTGCTGGCGGTGGAGGGTTTGGGGGTCGAGGCGGGCGGAGCGGGTGGCTTGGACGACGCATAACGTGCAGATAACAAAAATGGTGTAGTCGTTGGGCGCGCCAGCGCCCGCAGTGTCCTGCTCGCCATGCTCGCCATGCTGAAGTGTGGTTGTGATGTTGCCGAAGACGTTTATGACTTTCTCCGACCTCCACCGACCGGCGAGGTGCCATTACAACTGCCGCCTATCTCAAATTCAGGCACACTAATGGACGAAAAGTCCACGCAATTCGCACTCATCTCATTCATCCTACTTTTGCAAGTCGCGCTCGTTCTTAGCATCATCAACACCATGGTCGCAACACCGCTCCGCCGCCTGCCGCTCAAGCGCGCGTTGTCCGCGCTCCGCGAGGCCGAAGGGACACACAAGCTCTCGTCGTCGGTTTCCGGGATCGCAATCACTTTCCGGCCGGACGGGAGGAACGAGCGGGGGCCGATGTGAGTTGGTTGGCGCCGAGGTGTCGCGGAGAAGACGAGGAGGAGCAAGAGGGGAGGTGGGCGGGGCCAGACACAACAAGAGCTACAGGCTCTCATGACGCTGTGCTGCAAAGGGCGAGCGGGTATATCGCACATGGCAACCCGGCGCTCGACCTCTCGGAAAGGTGTCGTGAGGGACGAGCTGCCCAGTAGATGGGACGGCGAAGCCGAAGATAGGTCGTCGAGGATACGAGAAGATTACTCCCATATGCGCACACCGACCGTGCCCACACACTCGCCCTGCCGCACCGCTGCTCTGCTGGCTGTGTGCCGCCCTCTCCTGGTCTCGCTCTCTCTCCTCTCACCCACTCTTGCTCCGGACCTCCCGTCCCCGCGTTCTCTCCTCCCCATCTTCGAAACCCCGCTAACAGCAGCAACTTCCTCGCCCGCGTCGCGCCGCGGATAGCCTACGCGAACCCGACGCTCCCCTTCCTGGTCAACCGCATCCCTATGCCCTTCAAGCCCTCGAAGAGCGAGTACCGCCCGAATGTGGACCCGAACGCGCCGGTCTCGGAGGAGGAGATCGCGCGGCGCGCAGAGGCCGAGAAGCAGGTGCCGAGCTTGACTGTGTCGTTCCGTAAGTCCTCCGAGTGCGAGGAGGACGGCTGCTGACGCTCGCTTCTGCGGACTGACATTCTCTCGTATCCCAACGCTCACCACGTCAACCCATTACGCCCGCCACGCCCCTACCCAGACTCCAAGCCCTCCGAAACCTTCGAGCTCACCGCCATGTCCGCAACGGAGATCTGGGCCCGCGTCGCTGAGCTCGGCGACGCCGCGTCCAAGCCCGCCGCATCAAAGGCAGCCAAGCCCGCTGCCGACGTCGCACCCGAGACCAAGCAGGCCGCATAAACCACTCATATACCCGCGCTACGCGCCATGCATGCTATATAAACGACGATGAACAAACAATGCTAATGCTAAATGCTGGGAACCGATATCAATATGCGTTTTTGGCGAGGAAGTTGTCCATCGAAAGCTCGGCGTACTCGTCGTCTGGAGGGAGATCGTCGAGGCTGGAGTTAGCGAAGTTTACGGCAATTCGAATTTACTCACCCCTCGAGCATTTTGGAAAGACCAGCGCCGGCGGGCTTGGACGCCTTGGGCGCCTCGCCCTCGGCTGACACCTTGAAGAGGTCGAGGACCTCGCCCGTGTTCATGGAGCCGAGGCCCGCGTTCTGCTGCGTCACCACGCTGCTGGCGATGTTGAGCTTGAAGCGCTGCAGACCCATAATCTTCTCCTCGAGCGTGCCCCGCGTGATGAGGCGGTAGACGTTAACGACTCTCTTCTGACCCAGGCGGTGCGCGCGGTCCATGGCTTGCAAGTCCTTCATGGGGTTCCAGTCGTGGTCGACGAAGATGACCGTGTCCGCGCCCGTCAGGTTCAGGCCGAGACCGCCGACGCTCGTCGTGAGGAGCAGCACGTCGATCTTGGGGTCGGCATTAAACGTCTCGACGATGGCGTGCCGCCTCCGCGGGTCCGTGCCGCCGTCCATGCGCATGTACGTCACAGAGGGCATGTTGGCGCGGAAGAGATCGCGCTCGATGATGTCGAGCATGGGCCGCAGTTGGCAGAAGATGAGCACACGGTGGCCGCCCGTGAAGGGCCCCGAGCCGTCGAGTCTGTCGCCGCCGGGCGGGGCGCTGACGCCAATCCCACAGTCGGTCAGCAGCTGCTTGAGCGCCTCGAGCTTGGGTGCTTGCGACAGGTCGCTCATCGACGGCAGCGCGCCGACCTTGCGCTTCACAGTTGCCTTCGCGTGCTCGTCTTCCCCGATTACTAGCGCCGGGTGGTTGCACAGCTTGCGCAGGTACTGAAGAGACTGGAAGACATGTTGCTGGCCTGAGCCGCCATCGCCCGAGACAAACTCGCCCGCTTCTTCGGCGGCACGGCTGCGAGAGAACTCGTCATACAACGCCTTCTGAACGTCCGACAGCTCGCAGTAGTAGTCCTGGATGATTTTGGGCGGAAGGTCGTGGAGGACATCCTCCTTAAGGCGTCGGAGAAGGAAGGGGAGCACCTGTTTGTGCAGCGCCTCAAGCGCGGCAGCTGCTGCCTCGCGCTCCTTCGGTGTTGCTTTCCCGTCCCGATCAGCGAGAATGGGTTTGCTGAAACGGTCGTTAAACACGCGCTCGCTACCAAGGAACCCGGGCATGAGGAAGTCGAAGAGCGACCACAACTCGAGCACGTTATTCTGGATCGGTGTACCCGAGAGCAGCAAGCGATGCTGGGCGCGAATCTGCTTTACCGCCTGCGTGAGCTTCGTCTTCGGGTTCTTGATGACGTGACCCTCATCGAGGACGGCGTAAAGGAAGTTGACACGAGCCAAATCGGCAATGTCGTTGCGCACACTTTCATACGAGGTGATGACAACATCGTACCTGTTCAAAGTAGGGCGTAGTGCAGCGCGCTGGTTCGCATTTCCGACGTACTGGACCGCCGTGAGCTCCGAGGTGAACTTGCGGATCTCGTGGAACCAGTGTCCTGTGAGAGTCGGCGGGCAGACGATGAGCGAGGGAAGGTGCGCGGCGTCGATACTCCGCGTCTCCTTGAACCGCATCTTACGCTCGTGGATCTTGGAACCGACGATACAGATCGTCTGCAGAGACTTGCCAAGACCCATGTCGTCGCACAAAATGCCGTGCAGCTGGTATTTGGCGAGAAAGGCGAGCCAGCTCACGCCGTCCTTCTGGTACTGTCGGAGGTCGGCCTTAATCTCGATGGGAACAGCATATTGCTCGGCGCGCGACCCGTCGAGAAGCTGCGCGAGGAAACGGCGCTCCTCGTCACGCTTCGCGAGCAGCTCGGGGCTGAAGCCAGGTGGGTCGGGAATACCAGCCTCCAACGGGACCATCTTGACGAGTGCGGCAAACGTGCTCGTCGACAGGAGGCGGACGCTCTCATTGCTGTCGCTCATGCGTCCAAGGATGGGAACGATGAGGAAAAGTACGTACGGCAGCGCCTTGATCTCGAGCAGCTTGATGATGTGGTGAATCGCTTCGACGGCGCCCTGGCGTGATGGGACTCGCTCGGCGTCGCCGACAAGCGGCACAATGTCATCAACGACTCTCCGCATCGCCGCCTCAGTTGCAACGTCACATAATGCTGCGATCGTGCGCGCTGCGGCGTTGCGGATGACCGCGTACGACGATTGAAGGGCGATGATGAGAGCCGGGAAGAGAGTGCCGACCTCGGGATACAGGTCGGCGTCGAGCTGCGGTGCGACGAGACGAAGCGAGGTAAGCGTGTCGATGAGGTCCTGACCCTTGTTGGGCTCGGCAAGGCGCGCATCCAACGCGGCGACGTCTGCATCCCCCATTTGCAGCCCGGCGCTGATGCCCTCCCAGTACTTGGGGACGGTGCTGAACAGTGATGGGCCAAAACGACGCGCGACCGCGCCGAGCGCTCCAAGCGCACCTCGGCGCATGATGCGTGCCGCAATCTGCTCCTCCGTCTCCTCGGCAGCCGCTATCGCGCCCTTCTTGGTCGTTTGTGGCGCTGGTGTATCCTTAAGGCTAAGAATATCATCGGAGGCAGTCGAGAAAACGGGGGTGACGTTGACGTCTGAGTTGAGGAAGGTGAACAAGTTCTTGAGCACCTTATCCGTCGGGTTGACGGGAAGGGTAAAGTTGGGTGAGCAGCAGAACGCAACGAGAGCGCCAACGGACTCAGCCGCTCGAGCCTGCAGCAGCTCCGACTCCTCCTTCTTGATCGCGTCCATGACCGCCTTAACCACGGGCCCCAGCTTCGGTGGCATGGTGCCGAGTGCAATGAGTGCGCCAGCGACGCCGGCAGACACCTGAACGTCGAGACGGTCCTTCATGGCGCCGAAGTATCCAACGCTCGCTAGCACCTTCTTCTGCCGATCGCGCAAGTTTGCGAGTGCGGCCTTTGCCTTCACGAGGCTGGCAAGGGCCTCAAACGTTGGGCCGACCGCGCGACGCGCCGTGTCGAGTGTGAACGCGCCGGCACCGCCCAGCGGGTCAACATGGCTCGGCAGATCAGGAATGCGGTCCTTCTTCACCTTGCCCTCGGTGGTGAATGCGGAGAAGAGGCCGCGCACCTCGGCGTGCACGCGCGTAAGCATCGTCGACATTTCAGTATAGGTTGCCCTGGGGGCGAGCAGGGGAAGGACATGGGCGTCGATACCAGATGCGCGAGCCGACCGTTGTGAATCGAGGGCCCACTCACGCACAATGGTCGCGGCAATGAAGATCTGGTGCGCGCACGCGCTGGAGAGGTAACTCTTGATAAGGGAGACGTCGTCAAAGGTGTGCTGGTAGCGGCGGAGGAGCGCGAGCGCCTTGGCGGCGGCGATGCGGGTCTCCAGCACGGTGTCAGTGGACACGAGTGCCATGTCCCCTGCGAACAAGGCCTTATCAACGTCGTGGCCGCGCGGACGCCGCCCGAAGAAGAGCGTCTCGTCAAGTGGAGCGCCTACAGGCGTCATGACGATCGTGTACCAGTCCTCGATGTTGGGCCCGACAGTCGCGTCGAGGTCAGTATTAGCCACAGCGGTCGCGAACGCCTCGAAGGTGACGTCCCGTATTTCGGCGCGGTCTTCAAGCACCAAGTTCTGGAAGAGAAGGGAGAGGACATCGGGGCGCACCCAATCGCGGGGGAGAGCTGGGACGGAGAGAAGAACAAGGAGTGCCTTGACGACGGCCAGGCGGACGGTCGTAATCGGGTGCCGGATGAATGAATAGATGCGGGAGATAAGCGCGTGGCTGTCGGTACTCTGTGCCATAAGGGAGATGACCTCATCATATTGCAACAGTGCGCCGAGGAGGTCCATAACCGCTGCCGTGCTGCTACCCAGCTCGTCGGTGCCTTCTCCGAGACAGTTCCATAGCGTTTCAATGATCGCTGGAAGCTCAGGAATAGTCACGAGGGTGGATGTGATTGGGAGTAGAGCAGACGCCGCAACGGAGCGGATGTCGTCATCCTGATCGCGAAGCGCGAGGATGGCACACGCGACAACGTCGTGCACGATGAGGGACGGATCGCGTAATGCGACCTCGTACTTGAGACCGAGCAGTCCGGCATGGCGTAATTCCCATGCAAACTTCTCAGCCCGTGGCCGCCCTTCAGCCTCTTTCCCGCGCTTCGCCCATGGCTGGTTGACCATGGCGACGAGGGCGGCATGGACCTCGGCGCACTCGTTTTCGCTCTCGTGACGGAAGAGCACGCCGAGGGCCTGGCCTGCTGTCTCGCGCACTGGCGCCATGACGGTGTCGCCGAGGAAGTCGCCGAAGCGGTCGAGCGTGAGGAGGGTGAGAAGACGGCGCGAGAGTGCGAGACAGAATCCGGGGTAACCGACGCCGATGGTTGCGCCTGCCGCCCGCGCGACCTCCATGATGCCCATCGCTGCGCCATGCCGTGCCTCCCATGCGGAATCGGTCAGTGCTTTTGCAAGCTCGACGACGACGGCTGACCACGGGCTATGCCCATGCGCGTCAAGTGTCAGCACCTTGGCGTCGGAGGGCTCGACTGCGCCGCCCTTTTTCCCGGGATCAATAATGACGGCTTCGGGCTTGATGTCGGGCTTGACGTCTTCAGGTTCGGCTTTGACCTCGGGAGGTGGTGTGCCTTGTGGTGTGCTTTTGGGCGTCGTATCCTGCGACCCGCCGTCGGTCTTGTGATTCAACCTGCGCATTTTGTTGGCCTCCTCGACAATGTTGTTCCCCTTTTTACGCTTGAGCATGGCAATCTGACGGGCAGACAGCCCCTCAAAGACGTTCTCAGGCGGAGCTGAAGGGGTTGGTGGACCTGAGGTGATGCCTTCCTTGTCGTCGGCGTCATCCAATACCTTGTCCATCTCGCTTCCCATGTCGAGACCGCCGCCTAGGCCGGCAGCGCTCATCATTGCCTTCCTACTGCGGACGCGGTCGCCCCTGCCTGGTTTGGCGACGTACTCTCGCCCTGCTGATGCAAGCAATGGGTCGTTGGATGACAGAGTGGAGGCAACGTCGAAGGGTGCGTCTGCGCCGTCTATGGGAACGGGTTGGTCAGGTGGGCTGCCTTCCCATTGTGGGAGGGCCTGGGCGACGAGACCGAGAGCATGAGCAGCAGCATTGCGGGTCTCGGAGGAGCGGGAGCGAAGGAGGGGAATGAGGTTTGCGATGGTCTCGAGTGCGTCTGGCCAAGCATCGTCGTGTGGGAGGGAGGAGAAAGTCTTGTATGCGACGTCTGCGAGTTGCTTTGCTGCGGTGCGACGGACGAGGGTGGAAGTGCCAGTGTCGAGGAGGAGGATGAGTTTGGACATGATGAAATGGGTGGGTGGAGTGGAGTGGACTACCTCCACCGAGGGGGGTGGAGGGTGGAGGAGCCGGGGGTGGAGGGTGTGGAGGGTGTGGGAGGAATGAGAGAGGGTTGACTGGACTTTTGGGTGTCGGCGTGGGGGGGGGGGGGGGGGGGAGGGTGGAGGAGCCGGGGGTGGAGGGTGTGGAGGGTGTGGGAGGAATGAGAGAGGGTTGACTGGACTTTTGGGTGTCGGCGTGGGGGGGGGGGGGGGAGGAAGGTGATGGGAGGTGGGGGGGGGGCACGCTCTCTGAATCGAATTATATCTACCGTGCTGCCCTGGCTCTTGTCCGTGCCTAAATCCCTCCTCTCACTCTCATATCGCCACAACGGGACCAAAAATTCGTCGCCTCTCTGCCTCATCTCCTGCGCGTCCTACATTATCGCCGCGGGGTTTACCTGGGTGGCAGTGATGACGGAGATCTGAACACATCGTCATCGTCTTCTGTGTGAGGCACGTGACCAGATCACCATCACATCACCAACACACTGCTCTCTATCTGTATCCACCAGCACAATCTTCCTTGTCATAACCTCCTCATCATGCCTGGCCTCTCTCTCTTTCAGAGCAGCAGACACGCACACAATGCTGCTCTCTGTGATGCCTTTCCTATCATGCCTATCACACTTCCGATTCATGTCCAGCCACAGTCCACCCATTCCAGCTTTATCGCAAACGCGCACTCGCGTACCTCCTGGTCCTTGGTCTGCGAAACACGACAAGCTCGATGGACACGTGTCACTGCCTGATAGTTGCTGACCACATGGCTTTGTATGGCTTGGTGGTGACGAAGTCTCGGGGCGCTCCGGGTTCCGGCCTTCCCGCTGGCGGCATGGACCTTGGGGAGGCTACGCGCTGTGTCGAGAGCAGGCAAAGCATGGCCACGGCCGTACCGCGGTGGCGGACGAGTGCATAGGCGCAGAGGCGTGGTGTGGCTTTGGCGCTGTTTGCAACGAAACTTGGTCCAGTGGCGTTGGAACCCCTCGAGTCCCTTTGGATCTGAGGAAATCGCAACAATTCGAACAGCACCTCTGCCTCGCTGCCTCGCTGCCTCGTTGCCACACTGCCTCACTGTCTAGCATGCCTAAATGTCTCAAAGGTGCTAAGCTGTTGTCCCCATCCTTGCCTTTCCGCGGGCCGCGGGGTACCCTCATAGCTCCTCCAGGCTCCTCAAGACTCCTCAATTCCTCAAGGCTCTCAAGGCTAAGGATACAGCCTCGTTGTTCGGCAGCACCGGCCTCTCCGCCATCCGACGCGCGCAACACCGTGCGCAGACGCGTTCCACCCTCTATTCAACGCCGACCCTTGGCTCTGGCTTGGGAATTCCCCCGCTGGAGTGGACTGCGTTCGGATGCGGAACCGCCTGGATCTCGTGTGATCCTGCAATCCAACACCGTCTTGATCGAACCAAATGGACCAAATGAACCATGGGCCAGATTGCCCGGTCCGCCGGCCGCCTCTTGCCCTGCTATTCTGCCTGGCATAGTTGCATGGCGGATCATTAACAAACCCAACTCAAATGTTTGCTCCGTCTCGTTTGGTCTTCCGACGAATAGCAGCGCGGCGCCGTGGCTTTCTGCGATTTTGGCAGCGTTGCAATCGCAAACATTCGCTCATCAGAAGACTGCTGAATAGCTTGGAGCGCTGAATAGGCGCAGACCGTCGGGCGGGCCCCACTAACTCAGGCGCAAGACGCAGAAGCGAAAGCCAATTCATTGACTGAATTGGAAGCGTATAAACTTGAGACCTCGACCTCGACCTCAACGAGTCTGCATGGCGCCGCATCCAGGCCGGCCATGCCAGCCAGGCCCGCAGAGCCGGACAAACGTCCAGGCACCAACAATTGAGGAATGTCCTGAAACACGCCCACCTGCCATTCTCGACGCCACCACCGTGCGTTCACGTTTTGCTCATGGCGTCTGCGTCGTCGTCCTTTGTGGCACCAGCCCTCTGCTTCTGCCTCTGGTGCTCGAGATGCAGCCGTGCCCTCCCCCACGGCCCCCATCCCATTAATGTATGAATACGCGCGCCCCGCTCTCGTCTTCCCATCCCCACTTACCCACACTCGTTCACCATGCTCGCCGTCACCCTCGCTGCCGCCTTCGTCGCTCTTGTCAACGCCCAGTCCGCTCCGGACTGGAAGATCATCCCCAAGGCGTGTGCCACGCAGTGCGCCAAGACCATCGAGTCGTCGTGAGTGTCCTCTGTGCTGGCATCGCGTGGCATCGCATCTAACGCCCAGCTACCTGTGCCAGAACCAGTACCAGGGCGGCACGGCGGTGTACGGCTGCTTCTGCGAGTCGTACCCGTCTGACGCGGCGGCGTGCGCGACCTGCCTGGGCGCGAACAACGCGGCGGCCCTCGGCGCCCTCCTGACCTCGACGCAGGCCGACTGTGCCGCGCAGGCCAAGTCGTGCGCCTTCGCCTGCGCCTTCGACACCTGCAGCTCGTCCGACATCGCGTGCCAGTGCGACGCAGGCTACCTCGCCAACATCTACAACTGTGCGTCGTGCAACACGGCCAACGCGAACGGCGGCACGTCCCTCACCGACTTCAACGCGCTCAAGGACTCGTGCGCCGCCCAGAACTTCACCGGCGCCGCCCAGGCCTTCACGACTTGGGTGCCCGCGCCCACCGGCGTCGCCGCGTACCAGGCCCCCGAGCTCACCGCGACCGGCGGCGGTGACGCCGCCTCCGGCACCTTCCAGCCCGCGACGGACCGCGCTGCCGCCACCGACGCACAGGGCTCGGGCGCCGGCGCCACCCCCGTCTCCAACGCCCCCGCCGCGTCCGGCTCGGCTGCCGCTCGCCCTTCGTCGGGCTCCGCCGCCGCCTCTGCCTCGGCCCGCGCGTCCGGCGCTTCCGCCGCTGCCTCTGCCGCTGCTTCGACCCCCGCCGCCGGCTCCGGCGCCGGCATCCTTGCCGCCCCCGTGGGCCTTGTCGCCCTCGTCGCCGCCGCCGCCGCCCTTCTTTAAGCTCCTTCATTGTTGAGCTAATATTCAAGTTGATACCGCCCTTATATCTCTGATATCCGAGGCTTGGACTTTCGGTTTCCGTGCTATGTTGCTTTCAGTATGCACGATATATTCCTTCACTGATCATCTGAATATTTGGACGCTACGTGCCCTACGCCGCGCCACAAACACCGGAGCTCCTCCTTCATTCACCACCCTCTGCACGCGCCTCATGCTCCAAAATACCTGCTGCACAGTCGTAATGATCATAGCTTGCCAGTCAGTCTATATGCTACAATAATCAGGCACAAAATTAGGCCATGTCGGTCGCGCGCTTGATGCCGCCGCCCGCGGGGCCGCCGTTAGAGGCGGCGAGGAGCGATGTGTGCTCGTCGACCTCGGCGGCGTCCTGCTCGGCGGCAGCAACGACCTCGCCGACAGTCACGATCTGGCTCGGTGGAATCCGCGTGCCCTCCGGGACGGTGACGACTCGGCCCGAGTTGGTGCGCTTGTGCCTGCGCGCCTGCTTGGCTGAGCGGCCGGCGGCCCACGGCTCGCCGCGGCGCGCAGCCATGCCTGTGAACGTCAAGAAGCCGAACGCGATGCCCGACACGAACGCGGCGGCGACGCCGAACCAGAACGAGCGCGCTGTCGTCAGACAAGAGCAGCGCACAACTCACCCAGCCGCGCGCCGCGCTGGAAGCGCTCGTCCGACCAGAACGCGTGCACGATGAGCGCGACCGACGCAGCCTGCATGATGCAGTGTACGAGCATGGCGCCCGACACGAGCTTCCACTGCTTCCTGCGTGCGCGGGCGCGCGCCGTCCGCTGGCCTGCACGTCAGACTGGGGCATGACGTAGTGCACCTCGATGGGTGGGGTAATGCTCACCACGGTGGAGGAAAATGAAGAGGAGCGACACGACGGCAAACAAGCACGGCACGAGCGCAAGCTGCGCGGCGTACCCCGCACTGCTCCAGAGCACGCAGAAGCTCTCGCCGAACTGGGCGCACTCGGAGCTGGAGCGTCAGCCAGGCAAAAAAAGGCGCTGGAGGCGATATGGAGGAATCAAAATGGCTCACCGGGTGGGAAAACTCTCGCACTCCCATGGGCCACGCTTGACGGGTCCCCAGGGATGATGGGGATCCTTGTGGTCGACAGGCGCATCCACGGGCCCCAGGAGCGGCTGCGCGGGCTGCAGGTGCTTTGGTAGGGGAATCGCACGCGTGCACCGCTGGTACAAGCCATATCTGGTTGAGGTCAGCGGGATTTTGGCTTCGACATACTTGGTCTCGAACGCGGCGGGGGCCGGCGAGCGAATCTTGACGCGCACAAGGTCAGCCGTCTGGCGTTAGCTGTGGAGTGTTAGGCGGGGGGCGCACGTAGATGTTGAGGATTGTGAGGGCGGTGGCGGCGAGCAAGAGGACCAGAGAGACGAGGTAAGGGCTCTTGCGCATAGAGTGCTTCACGCGTGGGCGGGCGTCGCTCTCGCTCTCGCGCTGGCCGCGAGGTGTGCGGCCGCGTTCTGGCATGGTTGGAGATGCAGGAGAGAGTTGTGCTGATGATGGGAAAGAGGAAGAGAATGACACGATGGTGGAGGTGGGCGGGGCCGAATGTTGGCGGGAGTGGCGTCACTTGCGTCCATCTGCAACTTATAAACAATCCACTTTGTGATGGACGTCGACAGCGATGCCGCGCCAGTGGTCGGCCCCAAGCCGATCAGGAAGCTGGCAGCTGATGTCGTCAACCGCATCGCTGCCGCCGAGGTGCGCCCCGCCCCACCTAACCGTGCATGCCTGACACCAGATCATCCATCGGCCGTCGAATGCCGTCAAAGAGCTCGTGGAGAATGCGCTCGACGCCGGATCCACGAGCATCAAGGTGACGGTGAAGGAAGGCGGCCTCAAGCTTCTCCAGATCACCGACAACGGGCACGGCGTGAATGTGGGTGCTCCGCCGTGGCCGCAGGCCCGGGCCCGGCGCGTCGCGTGTGGTCCGCGTCGGGCTGACGAGCCCCGCCCTTCGCTGACAGCAGCGCGCCGACCTCCCCCTCCTATGCGAGCGGTACGCGACGTCGAAACTCACAAAGTTTGAGGACTTGCAGGCGATCGCAACGTTCGGCTTCCGCGGCGAGGCCCTCGCGTCCATCTCGTACTGCTCGCACCTGGAGGTAGTGACCAAGACGCGCGCGGACACGTGTGGCTGGAAGGCGCAGTACGCGGACGGGGTGCTCAAGGGCGATGCACGCCCTACCGCCGCCAACGACGGGACGACGGTGAGCGCGGCGGACCTGTTTTACAACATGCCGCTGCGGAAGCGGGCGTTCCGCTCGGCGTCGGACGAGTATGCGCGCATCCTCGATGTCGTGAGCAAGTACGCCGTGCATAACCCGCACGCGGGGTGGGTGTGCAAGAAGGCCGGGAGCGCGCTGCCGGACGTCAGCACGGCCGCGGGGAGCACGGCCAAGGCCAATATCGGGCTGCTGTATACTCCGGCGCTGGCGGCCGAGCTGCTCGAGGTGGAGGAAACGGCCTTCCCCAAACTCGGGGGCAAGGTGCGCGGGTGGGTCAGCAATGCCAACTCGAACTGGGCGCGGAAAGGCGGCTGGCTCTTGTTCATCAACAGTGGGTTGGGCTGGTGACGAGACCACTGACGCAGACCGCCTCGTCGACAGCTCAAAGATCAAGAAGGCCATTGATGGCCTGTACACGACGTACCTGCCCAAGGGTGCGAGTCCGTTCGTGTACCTCGCTCTCGAGCTAGATCCCGCCAACGTCGACGTGAACGTGCACCCGACGAAGTCCGAGGTGCACTTCCTGCACGAGGACGAGGTGGTTGAGGCGGTCGTGGCGGCGGTGGAGAAGACACTCGCGGGCGCGAACACGAGCCGCACCTTCACAGTACAGGTGGGCTCCCAGGCGTGCGCGCTGACGGCAGACGATGCTCCCCGGCGCGGATGCGCTGGACAAGCGCGAGCGCGAGCGCGACGCGCCGCGCGCTAAAGCTGCGCCGAATTACAAAGTGCGCATGGACCCGACGAACCGCACGCTCGACTCGATGATAACGGTCGTCGCGCCCTCGCAGATCTCGCACGAGCGGCCGGCGAAACGGCGCATCATCGACCCATCGGCGGACGTGGTGTTGGCAGACGACGACACGCCACTGTGGAACGCGAGAGAGGAGGGCCGCGACGCCCCCGAGAGCGAGTGCGACTTCACGAGCATCCAAGAGCTGCGGGGGGCGGTGCGCAAGCGCGCCAGTCCTGGTGAGTGCAAGCGCGGAACTTCTGACGCGCAGACCTTACAGAGACGATCGCGAAACACGCGTTCGTTGGCCTCGTCGACCGCACCATGTGCCTCTCCCTCATCCAGCACCAGACGCGGTTGTTACTCGTCAACCACGCGGCCATGGGGTGAGTACGTCGTGGACGCGCTGACGCCAGTGACGAGCATTTCTACCAGCTGGGCCTGCGGCAGTTCGGCGCCTTTGGCCGCCTGAAGCTTGAGCCAGCGCCAAAGTTGGAGGACTTGTTGCGCATTGCGGCCGAGGACGAGCCGCTGGCAGAGCACGGTTTGGCCGTGGACGAGGTGGTTGCGGTTGGTTATCGAGGAGAATGTGGCTGACGACAGAAATGCACCGCCCTCCTCCTCTCCAAGGCTGATATGATTGACGAGTACTTCTCCCTCTCCTTCGCCGAGGGCGAGGTGCGCTCCCTCCCCATTCTCCTCAAGGGCTACACGCCAAACCTCGACCGTTTGCCGCACCTACTCCTCTGCCTCGCAACAAGGGTAGACTGGGAAGACGAGAAGGATTGCTTCGAGAGCGTGCTGCGCGAGCTGGCATTCTTCTACTCCCCCCGCCCTTTCGATGACGAAGACGAAGACGAGGACGCTGAGGAGGCAGCTCATCAGGCGTGGCAGCTCGAGCACGTCCTCTTCCCCTCCTTCAGACGGACACAGTGGCCGCGCTCCATGTCAACTGATGTGAGCCAGGTCGCCAACCTCCCCGACCTCTTCCGCGTATTCGAACGGTGCTAGCGTCATGGACGCCTCTGTTGTATCCCTAGGCCATGTATACAGGTACACATCGTCTGCATCGGCGCTGGCGATATAGTCCAACCGGCTGGAAGAGCGAGAACGTTTCATGTCGCACAGTCACAGCGGCCAAGTTTCGTCATCAAACAGTCTAGCTACGCATTAAACGCGAGGAACAACGAAGAGGCGGACAGAAGGTGGAAGCTTGTGGCTTAGAAGAGCATATCTCCGGCGCAGCAACAGCAGATGGCTGGGGTCAGTGAGGTCGAAGTAGAGGGAAGAGCGCCACGCCGAGGGCGGCGGGCGCCGAATAGACTCACTTGCGGCGAGACACGCGCAGCACGCGGTGCAGCAGCCACCGCCCGAGTCCTTCTGCTGAGGGGGCTGCTGGATGTAGACCGGCTGGGGCTGGGGCTGGGGGTAGCTGGTGTCAGCGAGTGTCGACACAGGCGGCGGAATGTTCAGTGGTAGATGTGCCAAGACGGCGTCAGGCTTGGCACTGCACCGCCTTTCGGTCATCTGCGTCTTATCATGCTGCGGACCACAAAAGTTGCGCGCGTCGTGCAAGATGGGTATTGCAGGGCGGCGATGTGCGCCGAGAAGTGTATGATGGGGGTTTGCACGCTGGTACTCACTACTGGCCCGGCTGCTGGTAGCTCTGCTGAGGGGGCGGGGGGTAGTAGCCGCCCTGGGGCTGACCGTACTGGGGCTGGCCGTAGCCGGGGCCGCCCTGGGGAGCGCCGTACTGGCCACCGGGGGGGCTGGGGTTAGTATTGGGGTGGGGCGGGGTATTGAGAGGAGGCTTCGAGGAAGGACAAGCGGAACGAGGGACAGAGGCGCGGCGCCAACGCACATGCACACGCAAGGCGGAGACGAGGAAGGCAGGAGAAAGGAGGACAACGAGACGGCGTCGCACAGAGCGAGTGTGACAGTGAAAGCGACGACAGCGAGAAGACGGAACTAGCAGATGACACGTCGAAATTACTGCGGCTTCATGCGGGTGATCCGCAGATCCGGCGACACACCCCGATCCAGCAACGCACATCCCGACGCCCTCGCCTCGCTTGCACGCCACTTCGGTGCTGCACGCATCATGTCGGCGCCCGTCGCGCGCACTGCTCGCGGCGTGCTGCGCATACGTGGGCATCGGCACAGTCGCGCAGCAGCGCCCACGCCAGTCACTGCACCGCATCGCCCGTGCGCGCGCAGCGCCACTGCCCGTGCTTGGCGGTCCGTGTGCCGGGCATGGCCGGACATGACGCATGCTGGATGTGCTGTTCGCTCCGAATTCTCTCTCCGCTCCGCCCGGTGTCGATGTGACCGATGACTCCGATGCGTCCTTCTAGCCATCGCAATTCCCACGGAAGCCAGCGACTTACCCGCCACCACCGTAGAACTGGGGTCAGCTGGGGAAACAGGCGCGACGCACGTCCTTGGCCGACATGATGACGAGAGGAGGAGAATGGACAAGAGTCAAGAGGAGGAGAAGAGAAAGGACAAGGAGAAGAAGACGATGATGGCGATGCTGTGGCTGCAGTACGAGTAGGGAGGATCGAGGAGGGAGGGAAGGTGGCGGCCGTGTTTTGGTGCGCAGTCTCCCAGGCACTCGCCGGCACCGCGCCAGAGCAAGAAGCAGAGGGCTGTCTTGGCTGCGGGGGCATTTTTTCACGTGGCACAATAACAATGCGGTGTTGTACAGGATGTTGCAGGATGCTCACCGTGGCATTTGCCGCGCGCAGTACGCCGACGTGGACAGGCTCGCAGCTCGCACGCAGCAAGCTGTCACTGTATCATACACTATGCTACACTGCTACAATAGCACGCTAGAACCGCGGCGGCGCGGGTTGGTTCCGGAGCGGGCTGAACGCGCCGGCTTGAGTCGGCGGCGACTGGATGGGAACGGGCGCGTACCGCGCCGGGCCGGCGAACGTCTCGGGGTACGAGGGGTATTCTCCGAGCGGGCTGGGGCTGAGGCTCGGGCTTGGGCTTCCGGGCGACGCGGGGTGGCGGCGCGGCGGGGTGGGCGTGTGAAGCTGGGCGTGTAGGCGGGGCGGGGGCACGCGTCCGGCGCGCCCGTGCCGCGGGGGGTGAGACTGCACGGTCTGTGGCGGTTGAGAGGGCTTTTCGGCCCACCGCGTCTCCTCTGTTATCATGTGGTCGACGGTGTTGCGCTCAGCGCGGCGCTCGGCCCACGCTGTACCCTTGAGGAAGAAGATAAAGAACAGGGTGAAGGCGCCTAGCGACATGGCGAAGAGCGCCATGTTGTCGGCTAGCTTGTGGTCTTTGATCACGACGTAGCCGCGGCCTCCCTCGACGAGGGGGGCTGAGGAGGGGCCGGTGGGGAAGTCGGAGGCGAAGGAGGTGAGGACTGGGGTTAAGGGGGGGGGGGGGGGGGGGGGGGGGGGGGGGGGGGGGGGGGGGGGGGGGGGGGGGGGGGGGGGGGGGGGGGGGGGGGGGGGGGAGGAGCTGTGAAGGGCAACTCACACACAGCAGGACCAGGCAGGCCTTGCGTTGCGACGCCGGTCGGCGTCGGCGCTGGTTTGGCATCCGTCTTGCCTCTGTCTGCGTCCTTGTTGTTGTCCGGCTTGTCCTCCTTGTCGCTCGGGCGACTCTGGTTCCCCTGGTTATTGCCGGGGTTGTTGTTGCCGCCTGGCTGCTGTTGCTGCTGCTGGTCGTTTCCACCCTGCTGGCCGCCTTGTTGCTGGCCTTGTTGCTGGCCTTGTTGACCGCCACCTTGGCCATCAGGTCGCTCACCCCCCCGACCCCCTCCTCCTTGGTTCCCGTTCCCCAGCTGACTCGGCGCCTGTCGTAGTTCAAGCGTGACCATGATGAGTAGTCAGAAGACTCTGTCGCGTCTTGCATCTCGCGGAAGCCAACCCGCGCACACGGCGGCATCGCAACGCTCAAGTCTGAGGTGACACCCAAGTGAGCGGGGGTCTGAAACGCGTCCCCAGGCACCGACGCGCGTCGATCCCCTGTTCCACCCGTCCGCGCACGTTGGGATGCGGGGAGAATATGGTTGTTAGTAAGTCTAGGGGTTGGGGGGGGGGGGGGGGGGGGGGGGGGGGGGGGGGGGGTGTGATTGGAGATTACGGTTGAACCTGGGATCCTAAGAGCTGGAAGCCAGCTGCACGCAGATGACGGCCATAGACGACGAGCTCACGCGGCCCACAGATGGCGGAAAGTGCGTAATCGTCGTAGACGGCGATGCGGCGCAGAAGAGCCGCACTAGCCGCGGGCCTAGCTGGAAATGATCGAGACTGGCCGACTTGGCACCGTTGGAAGCTCAGAGTTTAGTGTTGGAGAAGCGTCGAGCGTGGCGCCAGTCAATTATGTATGTGGGCTGTGTGAGTTCTTGCGACCAACGTGGCGTTGCGCAAGATCTTATGCCTCGCCGTCCGAAGTGACAGCCACCTCCCGCACTGAGACACCTTGCAATCTAGAATTCCGCTCCCCGCCCACGCCGAGTCGATGGCATGCATATACAAACGGTACAGTTTACAATGGTGGTACAGGCGGCGGTGGCGGCTCACACAATGACGAGGCTCAGTTGCTCCTTGACGGCGAGCACGAACGCGGCGCCCTCCGGCAAGCCGCGCTTCTCGACTTCGGCGCGCACGAGCGCCTCTGCGTCGGCCTCGTCGTCGTCGTCCGCGTCCGCCGAGTATCCGGGCACGACGGCGGGCGATGCCGGCATCGCTTGGGTCTCGCCGTCGTCGTCGCTGAGCACGGCGCACTCGAGGCTCGGGGAGCGGTTGGAGCGCGGCGAGCGCTCGGCTTTCACGAACGACGTGCGGCGCGAGGGGCGCGCATTCGTCCCGTCTAGCAGGGAGGGGGCGAGGCGGATCGCGCCCCACGCGTACGCGGAGGGACGGCGCGCGAGGATGCGATATGTTGCTGTGAGGGCGTGCGCGTCGGCCAGGTGCCCGATGAGGGTGTGGACGTGGGCGAGGGTTGTGTCGCGGAGCGCGTGCATTGTCGACAGGTCTGGGGTTAGCGCGCGATGGTGGTGGTGGAGGAGGAGGAGGAGGGGCGCCGGGGGGCGCACGGTAGTCGTGTGCGCTGCTCACGCGACCGCGGCTGCGTCGGCGACTTGATCGCCGGGGCTCGAGCTCGCCGAAGAAGCAGAAGCAAAGGTATCGGCTGGTCTGGTGACCCGCCTGCTGCATAGCCAACTCACCAGAGAAACACCCGAGACTCCACACGGGCACGTCGACGACGAACTCGATGGCGTCGCGGTCACGGCCGCCAGGCGAGTGCGGGGACAAGCCCATGGTGACCATGCGGTTCTTGCGCTCGCGTGCAATGTCCGCGACTGCGGCGGCGAACTCGCGCGTGGGGGCGTTCACGGACTCGGGGCGCGGTCTGGAGCGCGAGCGCGCCAACCGTGGCGAGCAATAGGGCCGCTCGTAGCGCGAGGGGCGGGAGGGGCGCTCGTCGAGCGACGGGGGAGAGGCGGTCTGGACGGCGGCGGCCATGGTGAGTAAGTGGTGGGGGTGGGTGGTGGCTAGTAGTAGGTCTGAAGTTTATAGAAGGTGAGGTGGTGAGAAAGTAGACGGCGGAGGGATTGAAGTAGTGACGGTATTCGGAGGAGAGCGGAGTGTGTTGAGGAGAGGAGATCGAAGAAGGAGGGGGAGGGGGAGGAGGAGGAGGAGGAGGAGGAGGAGGGAGGAGGATATGACGAGAGTGGACGAAAGTACAGGGGTCGGTCCAAGGCGGCGTCAGCATCAGCACGGTGCATGCGGAGATCGGGGGGTGGATTGGGCAGAATGGGAGGCAAGCACCAAGCACAAACAGAATACCAGAATCTTGTTGATCATGGGTCTGAGCGGCCTGGGCATGGGCTTGGGAGGCATGGGATATGGGAGAGATAACCCACGCTCCGTCTCGTGACTGGACCGCACGGAAGACTCACGATGGTTGGGGATCTGGTATGTGCGTCCGTCTAGGATGCGAGCGAATGCCAAGTGAAGAGTGCGAAGAGTGGATGGAGAGGCGCGTGATCGCGCGAGTGCGGTGCTGAAGATGAGGGGGCGGTGTTGAGAAGAGACGAGTGGAGCAAGGACGAGGACGAGGACGAGGACGAGTGCAAGTTGTCAGCTTGTCGGTGGCAGGTGGCGGTAATAGCAAGAAGCAAGACAAGTATTACGGGAATGAGTCACATCTTGTTTTACAGTGCCACTAACTTGCACGCACCCCCGCCCTGTGTGCCCCGCCCGCCGCCACGGAGCATAGAGAGCCCAAGGGAGAGCCATGACGAGGACAAGGACAAGGGCGAGTGGTGGATCCCGACATGCCCGAGAGATCCCGGAGACGGCGTAGGCCCTCGAAGCGCCTTTGTTCAACGCCGTGGCGGCCCGACACCCACAGAATCTGCTTCCGTCATCGCTCAAAAGGTTACCGGAGTCACCGGCATCCCGGCACGCCGACCCGACCTACAGTATCCGGCCGATTCCGCCTCTTATTGCGACTGGGGCAAGTTTGCAATATCGGAGCGCCGCCGCCATATCTGTACTGTACTGATACTGATACAGCATGCATGCACCACCTCTTCTTTTTGCTGGCCACGCTGCTTGCATGCTGTACTGTAATATCAGGTATGCTATTATTCTGTATCCTGGTTGACACGAGCCAACCAACCCCCTTTGTGCTACTGTGGCGTGGCTGGCATGTTTCCCACTACCACCACAAAGAGTTGAAAGAGTTTTGCAAAGCCGGCCCCACAGCCTCCCCCGCGCAACTACCGCCGGTCCGGTCCACCACTCGTCCACCAACCACAACTCTGGATAAACCATCAACTCTGCTGACGCGCGCCAAAACCGAACCGTGTCGTCGCCGTGTCGTCGCCATGTCGTCGCCGTGTCGTCGCCGTGTTTCGACAGCTGGGCAATAGTGCGGCCCGGGTTCAACCTAATATATCCCCGCGACCCTTGTCCCCTCGTCTGCACCAGAATTCGCTGTCACCGAGATGGGCGCCGGACAGCATGCAAGCATTGTTCTATGACAAACTAAATGAGTGAACGAGGGCAGTGAGAGGCCGCCCTCTGCTCTCCAGCTATCTCTCTCTATATCCACAAACAAATTGCCCCTCGTCGTGAAGGGGGCACCATGCACCGGCCAACAGTCAACAAACCAGTTCCGGTGTCCTGTGTCCGTGGCATGCCCGCTTAATGGCAGCCTGGGTCAAGGTGACACGCCGGCTGCTTTACTTGCCGCCAGTAGTCTTGAAGGTCACGAGACCGCCAAGGGCGATGCTGCAGGTTAGCTTTGCACGCGTCGAAAAACCACACGCGTCATGCCAGGCGTCGCCGCGCCGACATGCACACATGCGCGCCACATGCCATCAACGACTCACCCGTAGCCAAAGACCTGCAGGGCGGTGATCTCCGACCCAAAGGCAAGAACCGAGCCGCTGATAAGGAGCTGCTGTTAAATTACTGTCTGCACATTCCAACTCACAATGTCCTTGAGGACACCAGCGAGAGTAAGGATAAGACCCGAGCCAACCGAGATGAGGAAGACGGCAGCGACGTTGAGGGCAAAAGCGATACCGGCGTTCGACAGCAGGACAAGAATGCCGACACGGTGCAGGTTGTACAGGGGCTCAAAGCCCTCGATAAAGGGCATGACAATGAGGTTGATGATAGCGCAGACGGGGGCGTAGTAGTGGAGCGACACGATCGGGTCCATCTTGAGGCCGTGGAGGAGGATCTGGATCATGACCAGGCGTGACGCCTCAAAGACAATGGCGGCACACTGGCAGATGAAGCCGAACATCTCAAAGTTGAGCTCGCCGTATGCGGCTGGGGGTCAGCGCGTGGTTCGATTGCCATCACATCTCGGCGGGGTCGTCTCAGGGGTGGGGGTGTGCATACTCGGCACCTTGTCGGCTCCGCTTGCCCCGTGGTGCCGCCCATGCCCACGCCGCCAGGACTTGATCCAGGACACACATGTACACCAGGCAGACTGCAGACTTCCAGCCCGAGCTCGACTCACCAAGCGCGCAACCAACCGAGATCATCATGACGATAGCGAGGAGGCGTCCGTTGGGCTCCTGGAGCTTGAAGGCGAACGAGATGAGGAGAATCGCAACGGGGTTGAAGGCCTTGAGCATCTGGATAAAGGAGACGCTGAGGGTGAGGTAGGCGTAGTTGGAAAGAATGAGCGACCCAGAGAAGAGGGCGCCGATGGGGAGGATGGTCTTCATCCAGCGGTCACGGCTCATCTCAATGTCCTTTGCGCCGTCGACAAGGGTGGTGGTGCGCTGCAGCACACGAGTTGCGACGGCCGAAAAGAAGAGGTGCCAGGTGGTGAGGAAGACGGGGTAGGGGAAGTTGAGGTTGGTGAAGACGTATTCTGATGTCAGGATGGTCAGTGGGCACGAACGGACTGTTGTAGAGAATGACGCTGATAGAGCAGGCCATCCAGATGGGAATGACTGAGAGTTAGTAAAGAGATGGGACAGGTAGCTGAATAACTCACTGACAACACCCGGGATGACAATCTTTTTCTGCTGAGAGCGAGATGCTAGCTGGCCGCCCCTAGGGGTTAGTTGGTGCATTAGGAGGAGCGACCGGGCGCTGTGCCGGTGCCATGAAGATACTCACTCCTCAGCCTTCTCAAGCATGTGAGCCTGGGCGTGTTAGCGGCGCGACGAGGACGGGGGGGGGGGGGGGGGGGGGGGGGGGGGGGGGAGGGGGGGAGTGCAGTGTGTGATGGCCGCCGGGCCAGGGGGAAGGTGAGGATGTGACGGCCGCCAGCTTCCGCACCGGCCTTAGAGCATGGCAGGTGACACTCCGGCGCAGATGGATCTGGCACACACATGCAACGGCCACGATGCGCTGTGCTCGTGGTGGAGCGAGGTTGTTCGACGGTGCGACGGTGCGACGCGCGAGAGGGCGTCCAACGCGACCTGTCAGCCTCTGCCGACGAGTGTCATTCGCCCCGGTGCCGGGGAAGAGCGAGTCCGTGCGCGAGTTGACCGGAGCGACGAGGAGAGGATGGTGGTGGGAAGAGTGAGAGACTTACGTGCTGCTCGCGGTCCTTCTCTTCGACGCTCATGGTGTGAGTGAGGTGAGGGGGTGGGTGTTAGTGGGGGGATGTCTGGCGAGACGGTGGTGGGG